TATGAAGATTTTGAAACCTAAAATTTGTCAGTGCGCACTCGCGTAATAGAGAAATACTGCGATTTTATGCGCAAATATCGCATGTCTGCCAAAAAAAGACAACCGTTAGAAAGAGGAGAAAAAAATGCATCGAATGGTACCTGAACTGTTTGTCATTTCGTGTTCTATGAGGTGAGAATAGGTGGAAGTCAAAATTTGGTCATTTAAGAAAATGACACAAAAATTTTGAAATACAAGCCACAGAGCTGCAAAAAATTGCTCCAGTTGGCAAAAGGTTTGCTTCATCTACTAATTATTAAAGCTCCCCCAAAAGTTTCAACAAAAATTTTGAAAATTAGCGAAAGTTGGACATGGTGAAAACGAGGGGTTGTAACTTCCAGCTCACATCTCAGCACTCCTCAATGATCACATTGCATATACGGCATCTGAAAAGAGGAAGAAATTCTGCATTGGAAACATGTACGGTATACTTGGGACCGAATGGAATGATTATTCGACCATTCGAATAAATTCGAATGGTCGAATGATTCGAAAAGTTGAATATTCGAAATGAGATTTCGGATAATATTCAAAAGTCGGATACTCGATTTCAGTTTTCAAATATATTCGATATTCGAATACTCGAAAATCTCAACTTTCGAATATTATTCGAAAGTCGAATATTCGAAAATCTCGACTTTCGAATATTATTCGAAACTCGAATATTCCATGGTCATCAATTCGATCATTCGATGGTCATCGAATATTCGAATATTCGATGCACGTCGAATGATGGAACTCCATTAGCATAGCACGTCACCGTAGAAGCTTCTATCAAGATACAACCCTCAATGGGAAGTGTATATGTTTTGTGGTCGTCTGACGCAGTAGTCTGTACAGTAATCGTGATGCGACATTCCTGTCGCAGAATGTAGCTGCTATGGACTTTTCGCTATCCAAAGACGCCAGAATTGTGATGATTTTTTTTTCAACAGCGTTTACACTTTCTTCATAAGCGTCATTGGATAAATTTTGAAACTTAAGCTTAGACTTTAGACATTTAGACCCACCGTAACACGGCTCTATGACCTCAAAGTAAAAAGTCAAAAATGAGTACCATATTCGTGATTAGCGCACCGAATAATCCCCTGACCAAGGTTTCAAAAGATAGAATTTTGTAGATACCGGCGCAACGATACCCTCTCGCCCCCCCCCCCCCCCCACCCCCATTTCGCTCTAACTTTCACTCATGCCTAGTGAAAGTTAGAGCGAAATGACTCCAGAGGACTTTTTAGCTGCCCCTCTTCTTTTGTACACTGTTTCTCTTTCTCGGACCAAACACAAAATTATCCCTGTGTTCTACGATAAACTGTAACGCGCACCAAACTCAGAGTTACCGCAAAGCACAGCTGCTGTTTGGTGGCGCTATTTCTTGTGCAAAACGATTTTGACGATTGTTTCCCTGCTAGAAGTAAACCGGTTACAAAGTCTCCTGCCATATCATCGCTTTCTACACTTGATCCATTCAAGCACTTGTAGAAGGGAGAAAGGTGCGCGTTAGCTCAGATATAACTCAGAGTTAGATCAGAGTAATTGTGAATTTCGACCAGATTACTACCGACCCTGGAATTTCTTGATGTATTGAAGTTTTGAGTACCTTTCAAAAATTACCAAAGCTTAGGAAATTTACTTGACTTTTGTTAATGACCCTGAGGTCTAGTGCACACTGTTCTTCATTCGCATTCGAAAAAGGTGATAGATGTGAAAGTGAAGATGTTCGTGACATGGTCGCAACGTTACTTTCGCTCGACATCTTAAATGAAAAGCGTATTCAACGAACCGCACGAGTTACCGGAAGGATTAGTGATGGGTCAAAAAAATTGTCGTTTGTTGTAGTGTGATAACAGGGATATGGTAGAATAGAACCGGTCATTGTATAGTATTTTCAGCATCGGTCTAGCTTATCGCACTGCCAACGAGAGGAAGACTGCTTATTGCCTTGAGTGCGATTCGAAACTTGTGTGTATAGCACTTACACACTTCGTGTATACTATATGTGTTCCGTCGAGCTGTCGACAGCACGGGCTGGATGTAGAGCCGCGCGGCGCGCTGAGATATACGTCATGCACTGTAGAGTAGTAGTCGCATAACAGGGAACTACGAAGACCCACAGTATTTGTAAACTATGCGCTTGGCCATGTAATCATACCACATAGGCATTCAATTTTTCGAATGATATTCGAAAGTCGAATGATATTCGATATTCGAATATTCGAAAGTCGAATATTCGAGATTTTCAATTTTCAAATATATTCGATATTCGAATATTCGAAAAAAATTTTGAATTTCCCCAAGTATAATGTACATGATCTGTGGGTTATTTCAAAAAGCTGACAAAACTTTTGCACCGAACTAAAATGAAGAGATCTAATGACCCATCGTCAACTACCAGCCACGTAGTGGCACTTAATCAATTTTTGTTATTGATTCTGAAAAAGCGAGAAAAGCATAGAATTGGCAATTCTCTTTACAAAAATGGTCATCAATGTAACCTTTGGCTTGCTTTTGGAGCTTAGCCACGACCATATCCCGGTTGGTAAACAAAGTAAAAGCAACTAAACAATATAAAAACGCGTCGCCGCTATTGAATGCATTCGAGATGTCTTGCATCCTTTGGTTCCTTCTCTATGTTTCACTAACGAGCGAAAATCTCGGAGAGTCATTGAATTATGCGATTGACAAAGGGCTCTCTATGATTAGAAAGGGTTAGCTCTATCTTAATTAACATAAACTGCCAAAACATGATTAGGAAACATTGAAGCATTGAAGAGTATGAAGAAAGGAAGCGACAAGATCATACTCTCCTCTAGGAAAAAAACGTTAGAGCCGCATAGCTCCTGACAGAACATCGACACCTACACATCTAGAATCCCCAAATGCATAGATTGAAACCAATTCATGAGCAGAAATTGACAAACGAAGGTTTGTCCATTTGTTACATAACAAGCGTTTTGTAAATGGTCATTCTAGAAGGAATCTCTGGATAATGTTGAGCTGATTCAGAGATAGAACTTGAAGAGCTAATGAACTGATTGTGAGAAGTAAAGTGAAAATCTCGCTTGCACAGCTGCAGGGTCGCACGAAGGCGTTTGGCACCATTTGCCAAAAAATTAATAGTGATATATTAGGTTGGTCCGAAAGTTCGTTCGCACCATTTTCAAAAAATCTTATCTTTCCTTCACATCGATTTTGCGCCTTTTAAATTTCATTAGAAAGTGTAAAGCATGTAGTTTCCAATGGTCCCCTGGAGACTTTCCAGCATGTTCAGATTGCAGAGATAAAAATGAAAGAACGAGAACATCCGAAATTCGGAATTTTTGAGAAAAAATTCAAAAAATCTAGAGACTGCGCGATAAAATCCAGAAAACCATTATCCTAATTTTTCTTATATTTGATTACTAACTGAGTTAAGTTCGTGCTGATCGAGCTCTTCTTTCAAAAGTTATGATTTTTTTGAAAAAATGCCGAAAAATCGATTTCTTAGGAATTCTTAGGAAATTGATTTTTCGGCATTTTTTTCAAAAAATCATAACTTTTGAAAGAAGAGCTCGATCAGCACAAACTTAACTCGGTTAGTAATCAAATATGAGAAAAATTAGGATAATGGCTTTTCTGGATTTTATCGCGCCGTTTCTGGATTTTTAGAATTTTTTCTCAAAAATTCCGAATTTCGGATGTTCTCGTTCTTTCATTTTTATCTCTGCAATCTGAGCATGTTGGAAAGTCTCCAGAAGATTGTTGGAAACTACATGCCTTACGCTTTCTAATAAAGTTTGAATTGCGCAAAATCGTCGTGACGGAAAGAAGTTATGATTTTTTGAAAATGGTGCGAACGAACTTTTGGACCAACCTAATATATACTCCTTTTGGAAAACATTATTTGGAAGCAATAGAGAAAATGAAAAAAGAAGAAAAAGCAAGTCTTGGTGGCCAGGCGGACGACCTTGTATTGTTTGGAATTCCCGTTGGCACCACCGGCAGCGTTATGCGGATGCTGTACCAGCACGGTGCGGCTTGAGCCAGACTGCGTACTTACGCTGTCTATCTCGTATTTTTAGGCTCGTGTGCGTACGCTGGTACGTCGCGTTCGCCGCGCACGCCGTGCAATCTGGCCCAACCGCTGTCTCAGCAATGCCACAGCTCCGGCTTTCTGGACAAAGCCCAAAGGCGATTTTTTACGCTTTCGTTGCAATTTTGAAATGCAGCGCTAGCAATGGCGTACCGAGGAGGGCGGGGGCACCCAGAATGGGTTGCGGAATTTCTGAAAGTTACTTACATGAGCTATAAAAATGTGCAAGTGACTTGTTTATACTCGTAAACAATTACCCTAATTTCCGGGGTATAAGGCGCAGTAGCTACCGCGCGCACACTGATGGTGATGACGTACGCGATGCGCGGCGCCGCGCAAGCAGCCAACAGCACCTCCTTCATTCAGGAGTAGCTTTCTGCTCCCTTTCTTTGCTGTTTTCCTTCCAGTAATGATTTGTTTCAGAACGAATTTCTGCTTTCTCTTCTATTCTTAAAGAATGACAAGAATAAAACAAAAAGCACCTTAAAAATATCAGTAGTATCATTGTAAAGGAAAGCACAGTTTTAGTACCAGTAGCATCATTGGAAACAAAGGAAAGCACAAATTTAGCACCGGGGATTAACCACAGCAGTCTTGAGTCTTCAGTTTTCCAGATTTAGAAAGCGTTTTCGCGCCATTGTTTGCTGCGGCGAGTGCGCCTTATACAAGGTGCGCCTTATACCCCGGAAATTAGGGTAAAATAAATTTTAAAATTTTTTAAAATTTCAATATCTAGCCTTGTAAAAAAAAATTTTGGGAATGTTGAAGAATCCAAGATCCTGCTGTGTTGTTTACGACCGTTTGCAGCAGAACGCTTTTTTCGAGTTTTCAAAGGCTGTAACGGTAACATTTTATTCGTGGCAAACTACTTTTGGACTCGTTGAGTTTCAAAATGCAGATCTTCGTACAAGCGCTTGATCCTCTTTCAATTGTGAGTGCCAATTATTCGCTTGACAGCTCAGGACGACCAAACGCAAAACGCTATGTGTTAGTCTTTTTGTTTTCTTTCGTCGGTTGGCGTGGAAACGTTGCTTGAAGTCAGAGCCGCTCATCGAGAGCAATCAGTCGCACCTCCGAGTTGTTATCTCATTTGAAGTTTGCGCTCAAACAAACACTCCAGTTCTTCTATGTTTGTTCCTATTGTGAGTGCTTACTTATGTAAATCCTTCAAAATAAAAGTCTAGCCATGAATTACGTCAAGCTTTTGGCTGGATTGATAGTAAAAAAACAGCGTCCCAGGGTCACGGGAGACAGTACGTATAATTAGATAACAGAAGAAAGTTCTATACTGTAAAACGAATTTGAAAGCAATAATGTTGGATACCCAGCACAATCACTAGCAGAGAATTCTGTGAAACAACTGTTCATCACTGGCATGATAATCGGCTTTTTTGCAAGCTTGAAAATGATGCGATAATAGTATTAGATACTATAAAAGTTACATTAAACTCAAAAGAACAATGCTCCAAGGTTTTTTATTCAGGAGAAGAAGAAGCCTAGTGGCGCAAAGCCACCCGTCATTTGTTACATATGCGGCCGTCAGTTTGGATCAATGAGCATAGGTAATTATGACATGATTACTTTGAAGCGACCCAGTAATTACAAATCAGTCGCTTCATTCTGGGACTTATTGTTAGAACGAAGGAAAAAGATAGAATTCCTAAGTGACTTTTGGCAGATCAAATTCTGTTTATCTCTAGAGTTAGAGCGTTTGTCAATTGCTCCAAAAAGCAGTGTATCTTGAGCTTCATTCTATAACCACACTTTAGCTTTAATTTGAGTACATCTTGTTTAGCCTCTTCGCTCTGCATCTTATTGGAAATCTTCAGTACAAAGATTTTTTCTGCCCTAATTTCACGCGTACAAGGCGCGGGGGATTTTTTTTCCAAAATCGACCAGCTCAAATACGCCAAAGAACTTCGCAACCAGAAGACCCTATGCCTTGCTGTATATTGCTTGAGAGAACTGTACGGCATAAGGATCGCTTTCCGAAATAATTTAAAGCGGCTGAGGGGCTTAGTAGAAAGATCGAATAAGGTGCGCCTTGTACGCTGAAATTAGGGTACTTTGTCTTCATTTGAATTTAAACCTTGAAATCTCTAGAAGCCTACAAAGGCACTCTGACACTCTCGACCTCTACCATTTTGATCTGATTAACAAATTGGTCATGTAAAATGACCACAATAATGAGCTTTTGCTAAAATTCAATGATTTTGATATAAAAAATTCCTGGATTAAAAAATTGAAATCACTATTTCAAGTCAATTTTATGAAAATGAAGGTATTTTTTATTACTCGCAAATGATCGAAATAATTTTTGGGTTTTATAGTCGTCAAAAAGAGCTTTGTAAGCCCAGCCCCGATCTATCTGCTGCGTTCTTCTCCAGTACAAAAAATCAAGACTTATTGCTTTATACTTGCCATTATGCAGAGATTCATGGATGGCGTAGGAGCGACAATAGTTTGTCTGGGAATAGGAGAGACAACGTCTCCATTGCATAATTCCTAGTTATATGATAAAACCGTTCCTTATTATCTGAATACTTTTAGGAATCCACGAGCCGAAATGTCTTGAAAAATTCCACATGGCAAACAATAAACTACCGAAAAGTCAACGGCGCCCCGAACCAAAAAGACCAACAGTTATTCTGGATGAAAGTTAGTTATATTTGTCCCCAGTTTTACTACAAAAAGTTAATAAAGCAAAAAATGGATATAATTGGAAAAATGAATACATAAATTGGATAAAATGAATATACTCATTTGTTTTGGTTTTTAAATAGATAAGATACCGGCAAGAGAATCTTGTGAAGAACTGTTTACACTAAATAACATTTTTAGCATTTTCCTCTGCAATCTAAATCTACCGGCAAAACACCCTACTTCAAGGCAAAAGCTTTACCGTTATTCCTTTGATCGGTTGAGGCACAGTGTAACTGAGATTTTGAGAAGCTGAGAATTTATAGTAAATGAAAGAAATTAGCAGTGATATACAGCTATGTTATCTGGTTCTGTTTTTTCGAGGAAAATATGAGGCAAAACTTTTTTTAATTCTCTAGTTCTCTAACTCCCGTTCATCCGGATGCAATCGAACTCAACTCCAATTTTTTGTGCTTGGATTTTTTGCTTAATTCAGGCGGAGCAGTCGATGAGGAGGCCACAAACGAAGCCCGTTGGGAAAACGCTCAGGATCTCCTGGTCCAGTGCGAGCATTGCGGACGTCGATTTGCTGTTAGTTAATCCAACTACGAGAATGGCAGACCAGATTTTTTCTGGGCATGTTTGTTTCAACAATTTTTCCATCGGTTAAAGTTGCTTATGAGCTTTTTAGAGCTTTTTAGAAATCCACCCACACACATTTGGTTAAACGGAAGTTATAAAATCGATTACTGGTTGTCAATCCCACTTTGGAACATCTGACTTTCCCTAATGAGCTTTATGAAGTTCTTTTGCTAGCAAGGGAAGACATGGAAGAGAAATATTATGATGTTAATACCTACCTAAACCACCCTACTTTTCATTTTTTACTAGCTGAAATCAGGTGCATCAGTGCTCCTCTCTTTTTTGAATCTGGCTGCCTATGTTGAGTTTAGCATATTTTTAGCATTCAAATGAAATAAATAAGAGAAGATGGCTTGGACGAAAGAGACCGTGTATTTTAAGATCATTTTTCAACCAGTTATTGCTAGAATCTATGAGTTTCCAGTTACTTTGCAGATTCCTAGGGTGATTATGTAATCACCACTTAGTGATATCAAGGCCCCATTTTTATGAAAATTGGCGTAGTTTGAATAATTTCATCCTAGAAAAAATTTTTGAAAAGAGTTTTAGAGAGCGAAAAAAATTTGGAGCTCCCCTAAAAATTCTCGGCTTATGCCACGAACTATCTACAAAGAAAATAACAGATTTAGTTGATCATCAAGTGCTGCACGACATTTCGAAATTTTTGAAATTACTACTTGCAGCATTTTTTATTCATGTTCAGATTAAGATAAGGGTTGGTTTTGCTGTTGATATCCTCACAGCCTACAACTGCTCTCAATTTCTAGCGATCACTTAAAAAAAAGCCACGAGGACAATTCTGGGCAAGCTCGTCATTCCATAAGTTGAATTTTAGGTGTGAAGGGATTGGATGTGTGCTAGTCTACTCTAAGGATACGATACATACAAGAATGACGATTCATTGTGAAACTTGTTCCATGATTTGTTTCATTATGTAACTGATGGCCATAAGCACGACAAAGGCCAAAAGTGGCTTGTTTTAGCATTTGAGGGGAACCGCCCGAGAAGGAGATAGCAAAATTCTTCAAAAATAGACTACGTGAGGTGCAAAATTGTGCAGATGACTTGTTCTACTTGTAAATGACTTGTAAATGACAGAAACAAGGTCAAGAGTTCTACAAAACTGAAGATCGTAAAAAATTTCATAAGGCCATGGCCGATCATGCTCTTTCTTCCAAAAACATTTATGTCCCCTCAAACTAATATAGCTCACCGCTGTGTTTCTTCTTTTAGGAAGACCGGATCCCCGTGCATCAGCGCAGCTGTACAGCTGAGAACCCAGCAAAGCCTGTGGATAAGCCGAAAAGGAAGAGCCGCTCACTTTCGAAGAAGCGCACTGGTTAGAACATCAAGAAAATTATGGAATGGACTAGCCAGATTTCAAGGAATAGTATGAAGACAGGTGTGCTACGTTGTTATGCGCTACTTGAACTCCTATACAATATTTTCTCTTGCTTAGCCGTATGCATAGATTTTTATTTATGTTTCCTGGACCTCAGTTTTAGTGTATGTATAAATGATCATCACCACTTTTCATCATGACGAATCTGTTAATTTCTTTAATAATCTTGGACTTATGTGTATATTGATTGTAATCCATTGATATATTCAATATGGATTTTTGGTAGTTACCCCAGTCGTCGACAAAGATCTACAAGGGTCACTAAAGACAAGTTCAAATTGCAGTTTGAAGTTTGATAAGTAATGATTTCACCGCACGCATAGTAAGCAGGCTTGACGAATATCACTCTGCCCTATGGACAATGACTGCAGAACAAAATCTGGAAAATATGCCCCGTATTTACGACTCGTATCGTGAAAGTGAGTATCACTGCTGCACTCTATACCATCAGCCTCAAGGGTTGGGCATACTTCACGCGATTTGGCAATTTGCCAAAACTCTTGAGATCCAAGACTAGCAAACTGCACATGCATAGTGTGTATAATTTACATGGATTTATAAAATGCCCTAACTTCCGTACATTTAAAATGTGCTTGAAGTGAGTTATGGACAGTTAGATTATTGTGAGGTCGCGTCGCGAGTGAAATCGCGTGAAGTATGCTCGGCCCTTGAATCTTATGATGTTGAACAGTAATAAGTAATTAGTTCACCTTATGCGTCAGCCCCAGTGTAAATATCAAACTGTATGATGTAAATTATTCGAGAGAGCAAAGCAAGATCTACAAGATGGTGTGCAAAAGTTTGCCCCAACTTCGACCTACTATAATTTTGCATTTAGGATCTGAGTCGTACTAAAGGCTAAAAAACTGGGGAAAATTCATATCTTCGCCCCAAAAAAAAATTCTTAGGAAGTCAACTTGCTCACACAAATTGCATACCACATCGGACACTCATACGTATTGTAATTGTATTTTTTCCCAATCTAGAAATCGACAAAACGAAAATTCATCCTTATATAAAGACGGATGGGCTGCCATCCATATAGCTGTATAGTACAAGCCCTTAGAAGTATAACTGTGAATTTTTTTCTTCCCAAAGGCCCTAGTTTTCGAGAAATGATGAATTTAGCATGAAACACCCGAGTGGAAGCTAAATTCGGTAATTTACGAAAACTGGGGCCTGTAGAAAGCTGAAATTTTACTGCTGTACATCTGAGGGCTTGTACTATGCAGTTACATGAGTGAGAACAGCGTAGCTTCGTTTAGTATATGCATGAAAATTTTTATTTTCTCGATTTCTAAAGTGGGAAAAAACGCAGGAACGGTACATATAGGTGTCTGATGTGGTGTGCAATTTGTGTGAGCAAGTTCGAGATCCGTAGGATTTCTTTGGACGAAGATATGAATTTTCCCCACTTTTTTGATCCTTTAGTACGACTCAGATTTTAAATGCAAAGTTATGGTAAGCTGGTGCGAACTTTGAAAGCGCCTTGTGGAGCTTGCTTTGCTCTATCGAATGGCACCCTGGAGCCCTAACAAAAATGTGAAGTGTACGACTTCTCGCCGTAAAGGGCCGGGCATACTTCATGCGATTTTAGTCGCGACGCGATTTGGCAGTTCGCCAGAAATCGTCAGATCCAACTTTGGCAAACTGCACATGCATAGTGTGTATAACTTACGTGGATTGATAAGATGCCCTATCTTCTGTACATTTATAATGTGCTTATGAGTTATGGACACCTGGAATATTGCCAAATCGCGTCGCGACTGAAATCGCGTGAAGTATGCCCGGCCCTTAAGAAGTTAAAGTGTAACAGGACTTATGTTACGACATTATACTTTCATTTTATTGGAAGACACAATTCGTGAGTATGCTTCTGCAAATAAGCAAAGAAGTTCTTGTCGGAAATAAAGATCATTGATGCTTTATCTGAATGATATATGTTTTGCTCAGCAAATAGATGTTGATCTACTCTGATCTCGAAAGGAGTCATGGTGATTTTGGTGATTTTGCCGGTGTTGATGGTGCTGACTTCGACATCCGGAAAGATTTCAAAGATTTGAAAGACTTGAAAGAGCTTACAGATTTGCTCTTTACACTCCGCCATAATCGTGATCGCCACGTTGCTAAAACGTTTGTTATTTAAGTAACGTGATATAAAGGTTGGACAAAGGCGAACGGCTTACTGAAGCGAAGAGGGCGCAAACGCGGATTTATCACCTTTGCGGCGCACGCGACAGCGTTATGCGTCGCGTTCGCGCCCGATTAGCTTACGTAGCCAACACCACCATCCAGCGATGAACTATAAGTGCTCACGAATAGTTTGAAGTCCTTTAGGGATATGTGGTCGCACGAATACATGCACTAATATAATTGCAACATATACGAACACTGAGACCAAACCATAGATTAGGAAAAACCAAAAATATGGACTCACTAAAACAATGATGCGCATAAGTAGAAGTCTCAACGAATGCAATGCATCTGCTGAACAGACCTCCCTTATTATTTTGCCTCACATAAAAAAGTCGCATGCAATCAGTGTCGGAACCACCGGCTGCACTAATAAGCGAGTTCAGTTCGGACGTAGTTGTATTTGCGAGGTAGTCGTCGTTGAGGACCTTGAACACTGAAATCGACATAAATAACCTTTGATTCAAATGGTTTGGCGGCTGGAAGGCGGGGCTTTGTAATCTAATTGAGGCCGCTCGCGCCCGCTTCGCAGTCCGCGTCTCTCTCTCGCGTGTGCTCTCTGATCATTCTCTAGCCTCAACTAGGTTGTGAAGCCCCGCCTTCCAGTCGCCAATCCATTTGAATCAAAGGGTAGATAATCTTATATATAAAGCTGAATGTCTGTTTGTCTGTATGTCTGTCTGTCTGTATGTATGTGTGTACGCATGTTCCGAATAGAAAATTCCATTTCTGAACCGATCCGGACCAAACTTGGCACACATACACTACGGGCCCCGGCGGGTGTCATAGGCTACTTTTCGTCATCGATCGATATCGATTTTATCGATTTTTATCGATTTTTTTGCTGAGTTCACCTACGGGGCTGGGAGTTGGCACAGGGGGGTAATCGAGCATGGGGATTCCGAATACAATATTGGTTTTCAGGATTATCGATTACTTTTATTGATTTTATCGATTTTTTTGCAAAGTTTGAGCTACGGGGCTGGGAGTTGGCACAGGGGGGTAATCGAGCATGGGGATTCCGAATACAATATTGGTTTTCAGGATTATCGATTTCTTTTATTGATTTTATCGATTTTTTGCAAAGTTTGAGCTACGGGGCTGGGAGTTCGCACAGGGGGGTAATCGAGCATGGGGATTCCGAATACAATATTGGTTTTCGGGATTATCGATTACTTTTATCGATTTTATCGATTTTTTGCAAAGTTTGAGCTAGGGGGCTGGGAGTTGGCACAGGGGGGTAATCGAGCATGCTGATCATCCCCAAGGGGGGTGATCAGCATGCTGTAACCGTAGCAGTTTCATTGTTTTGTCATTTTTTGCATACGGTAGCACTCACATTCTGTCTAGGCTAGAAATGCACTCGATCTGAGTTTCTAGGTAGGCCGTGAGGCACTATTGTATCGTCTTTTTGGTTTTTTCTTGTTGTGTAGTTTAGATCTTTGTGTTTTCTTCTTCTCACTTCATTTGAATCTCTTGATGTATCTCATTACTTGTGCGGGGTGCTAAATTGAGGGTTTTTCTTTTACATACGGTTCCAGAAGATCAAGGCGTAGCAAAAGCGCGCCAAATCTCATTGATTGTTTGTTGTCTCCGCCCGCTAGGGCAATGATGTATTCATTCGTTGTTCTTGCGTATCCTTGGCTCACTCGTTCTGTAGTTTGCTCCTGTTCTTATCGAGCCTTTTTGCATTGCTCATTTGTTCTTCTTGTTGTTTCGGTTGCAGTAAACCGTTTTGTGTTTGTGTGCGTTCCAGTGAGTTCTGAACGCGGTACCGCCGCGGAGTATCTAGGCTAATCCGTGTAGCCACTTGGGGGCCGAACCACTCACTGGAACGTTGGGGCATCAGTGATCCCCACAAGAAGAATAGCAAGGCGGCGGCTGTGCCCCGCTGATTACGAAATAAGTAGGGAAGCGTCAACGACCTTCCGCAAAAAAAAAGGGGGCACTCACAGTCCCCATTTAGAGAAGAGCGGCGGTTACACCCCGCTAGAATTTTGAGAGTTTTCTGGGAAAGGTATTGATCGAATTTGGGGCACATATAGTCCCACAAATTTCGAATTGTTAAGGCGGCGGTTACACCCCGCTAGAATTTTGAAACCCTTTTGAGGATTGTAGCGGCGGCTACGCCCCGCTTGACCAAGTATCATCGAATTGGGGCACTTACAGTCCCCAACAACTTCAAAGCTTTAAGCCAGCGGTTACACCCTGCTTTATCGATTACTATCGATTAAATTCAGACGCATACGCGCGCCTACGGCCGCAACAAACGAGCAAAAGGGCTACCTTGAAAGCTGCTAATAGGATTCATACCGGCTGGCAATTCCGAGAATCGATATTACTGTGTTTTATATACAGTAACTCGCGTTCTACCGTCACTCGTGCTCTATCGCGTACTGTCGCAGAAGTCTACAGTTTTTCATTATTTTGCATTGCAGAAAATGATGAATCCCGATGAAGAGCAGAATGTCAGCCAGGGTAATGAAAAGGAGCAAGGCACCACCGAGAAGGAGGTAAGGATACACTGTTTTGACTTGAACGAAAAATGTAGAAAACTTCATGAAAGCCTAAAACGATTGAAAATTGAATGCGAAAAAGAAATAAGCGCATTTTTTCGTATAGGCGATAAGCGAAGGGAAGCTATCCTCACGAGAATCGAACAGCAAGTAAAGCTGGTCGAAGAGGATATGCAAGAGACCCTAGAAGGCGTATTAGGCGCTACGGGCATAACAGAAGCAGCGCACATCCAGCCAGAAACAATAGAAATTTTGGAGCAAGCTAAGCTAACTTTGCCAAATGACTTAGAGCGCTGCCTAGATAGGAAACTTAGCCAAAACAAACTAATTGCTGTTTTATGCGCAATACTGAACTGTGACGAGCCCCAGTTAGAAGAGGAAGTCACAAGAGTAGTAGATGAGGCAAAAACCTGTAGAGATAACTGGATAGAGGCTGAGAAGCAAGCTAAAGAACTCCAATTACAGGTGCAACGCTTGACGGCAAAGGTAAAAAATTTTGGGAATGTCCGTAACCGCGAGATACATACTGATGCATCAGATTCGGAAGACACTGACAGATCAGGTAGTTGTGGAAACATAGCAAGCCAAAGCAAATACGCAAGGTTTGCACACATAAACGAAGAGAATCATGAGTTCATGTTACAGGGCCGTCAACGGACATCGACAGATTCTGCGCGGGAATGGATCCCGAGGCCCTCCTTGCATATGCGCAGGCCAGACTCAAACAGAGAAAGACCACATCAATCGGACACAGGTACGCATATGATGTTTCTTCAAAATGAGGCAAGAAACAACTCTGCTGTTGAGTTTACCATGAAAGACGTCATGCTAACGAATGTACTACCTGATGTTCGACCGTTCCATGGTAAACCAACAGAGAGCTTCAAAAGTTTTGTGGAAGCATTTTTGATAAAATACTCAAAAATGTACTGGGACGATCAATACTTGATCAGAATTTTTAAGAGTTTCTTAAGAAGGGAAGCTTTAAATGTATATGAAACATTGCCGCAAAGTATAAAAGAGGGCTCTTTTGACGGTGTTGTCCAGGCAATGGCGGAACGCTTATCGGAAGGGGGCAACACTTCATGTGTAAAAGGCTTGAAAATGTTGAGAAGTCTTAAAATACGGGACAATCAATCAGTTAGTGATTTCTGCGTTGTACTGGAGAAAGCGGCCTCCCAGGCGTTTCCTGGTGAAGATTTGAAGGGGCTCTCACTCCTGAAAGCAGAAATCCTATACTCGCAGCTGACGAAGTGGGAAGGCAGCTTTATTTTAGCAGAGGCGCTTGAAAAAAGCCCTAAGGACACAGTGTACGACAACGTCAAGGATGCAGCCTTGATGTTAGAAAGGAACCTATGCCGAAAGGACGAAAAATCGGAGGGAGGTTCACACCACAAGAGGCTGCACGCCGACCGAGCAACACCGAGATGGGTGAAGTCGCAAAAGGAGGTCGTGGAAAGAAATGGGAATAATACACCAGTGGAAGAAAAAGGAATAAAGAAGACACTAAACTATGCAGATGCTCCCAGACAATGCTTCAACTGTGGGAAAATGGGACATAAAGCCAAGCAATGTACGGTGCAAATCACCAAAACCGATACTTCTAGGCAAGAGGGAGAAAAGGAGGCGGCACTCTTTTCAACTGTTCTTGACAGTTGGTTGTGTGCCAGCACGGACGCCAAACAAAAAGCGGGTGAATTCTTTGGAAGAAAATTATTAGTACCGGCAACGGTAATGAACTTGGAGATAAGGGCACTCATTGATACGGGCTCGGAAACGTCCATAGCTCCACTGCAGCTTTTCAAGAAGGCAAGAGATGCAGGAATAGACGTCGACGCGTATGTAGAGAGAGTTCCAAAAATGACTGACGTCACGATACGCACTGCCTCAGGAGACAAAATGGAAATCTTGGGCGCAATAAAAGTCCCCGTAGAAGTTTGTGGCAAGACTGAGAACATCTCCCTATTTGTAAGCAGGTCACTTGAGGATCTACTGATTTTGGGAACAAACGCACTAGGCAAGTTTGGCTTCAAAGTGACAAATGGTGACACCGCTTTCGACTTAGCCGGTAAACAAGACAGCACGCAATCGTTTCCAGCCAAAGTGAAGAAGCGAACATATATACCAGCGGGAGCGAGCAGGATGGTAACGGTGGCGTATTTGAAAGGAGTCTCCGCGCGTATATTCTGTTCAAACTCCCCTCAGATACCAGATGGAATCTGTCAACCGGTAGCCAAAGGAGAGACGGAAATACCGGTGACAAACAAGAATAACCAACCGTTAGTACTGCAAAAAGGGCAAACTATTGGGAACTTCGAAAACGGCGAATGGATTGACAGTAAGTGGTTGGAGCCAACGGCAGATGCTCTCGACTTTCACAACGGGAAAAACAAGACTGGAGAACAAAGAGTGCAGGAAGTGATAGCGGCACTCAAAACAAATGACAAATACCCGGAAGAATTGCTGAAAGTTATCAGACAGTATGCAGACGTGTTCGCGATCAACGACTCCGAACTGACACAAACAAACTTGGTAACTCACAACATCGATACAGGGAGTCATCCACCAATTAAGCAAAAGAAGCGACCAGTATCCATAGGAGCCCGACAAGAATTCAAACAAATCATCAAAAACCTCGAAGAGAGAGGAATTGTCCGGAAAAGTAGGTCGGAATGGGCATCACCAGTGGTGTTAGTGAGGAAGAAGGACGGAACCTTGAGACTTTGTGTGGATTACAGAGAATTGAACAAAGTCACAAAACATGATTCCTATCCCCTTCCATCAATCGACATTATTCTACAAAGTCTCAGTGGAAAAAAGTACTTCTCCACCCTGGACATGATATCAGGATATTGGCAGATACGATTATCAGAAGATGCCAAGCAAAAAAGTGCTTTCACTACAAGCGAAGGTCTCTTCGAGTTTGAAGTCCTGCCGTTCGGATTGACAACCAGTCCAGCAGAGTTTCAGCGCATGATGGACATGGTCTTAGAAGGGTCAGGAGTCAAAGACAAAGAGGTCTTTGTATACATAGACGATATCTTGATCGCCACGGAGTCACTGGAAAGGCACTATGCTGTCCTTGAGCTCGTATTGGAAGCTCTAAGGAAAGTCAATCTCAAGCTAAAACCACAGAAGTGCGAAATTCTGAAGCCGCAGGTAGTCTTCCTCGGACACATCATCGACAAAAATGGAGTACACACAGATCCGGATAAGATAAAACGGATAGTGGAATACCCAACTCCAACGAAGTTGAAGGAGCTTCGCACCTTCTTGGGCATGGCAGCGTACTATCGGAAATTCATACTGAACTTCTCGAAGATAGCTAAACCACTCTATATGCTCACAAGTCCCAAGAATGCATGGAAATGGGCAAAGGAGCAAGAGGATTCGTTCAGCAATTTGAAACAAAGGCTATGTACGACACCAGTTTTAGCGCAGCCGAATATCGCAGCAGCAAGGGAAGGAACGCATCCGTTTGTCATATATACGGATGCATGTACAGAAGGCTTAGGCGCAGTACTGTGCCAAGAAAGTACGGACAAGATGCTACATCCTATCTATTTTGCCTCAAGAGGACTAACAAAAGCCGAAGCCAAATACCACATTACGGATTTGGAGGCCTTAGCTCTCGTTTTCGCACTGAAAAAGTTTCATTTCTTCGTATATGGAATGAAGACAATAGTTAAGACTGACCACCTACCTCTGACAAGTTTGTTTAAAAGAACTACCATCTCTGCAAGAGTCTTGAGGTGGGCTTTAGAAGTACAGAAATATAACTTGGAAATCCAGTATGTAAAAGGGAACACAAATGCAGTAGCGGACGCTTTGTCGCGCACGGCAGTCCCAGTAGAATCAGCGCTATGTGAAGAAAATGCCGCCATAGTGTGCACGGCACAATCACAAGCCAAAACGGAATGGCTCGAAGAATTGAGCCAAGATACGGACTACGCAAAGGTAGTCGAAGGACTTGAACAGGGTAGAATGGATAAAGAGATCCAACTACCAAGATATGGAAAAAAGCTGCATATTGCAGATTTCCTCATAAGCGAAGGACTGCTTATGATAATGATAGGGGACAAGGCACTGAAAGTAGTCCCAAAACCAAAGAGGAAGGAACTATTTGATGAAGCGCATGCAGGTGCGTTAGCAGGGCACCTCAACGCTAAGAAGTTGTACCGGAAATTAAGCAAAGACTTCTTCTGGAACGGAATGCAAGAAGACATAGCAAAGTGGACAAAAGCTTGTACGAAATGTTTCGTAACAAGACCACACGAGAAGAATACCCCTCCACTGAAGCCAATCGTGACAAACAAACCGTTTGAGTTGGTAGGCATGGACCTAGTGGAGTTGGGATTGACAGAAAGGGGAAATAGATACGCACTGGTGGTGATTGATCACTTCTCCAAGTTTGCAGGAGCGTACCCCATTGCGGATAAAAAAGCCGAAACAGTGGCAAGAACACTCTTTGAAAGATGGGTATGCGGAGGTTGCCGCTGGCCCAAAGCCATACACTCCGATCAAGGGCCGGAGTTTGTGAACAATGTTCTGTCGGAAATTTGTGCCATTGTGGGGATAGAACAGTCTGTAACGAAAGGCTACAACCCACGTGAAAATGGAATCACCGAAAGAGTGATCGGCACACTAACTAGAATGCTGAAAAAGCAGACAATAGTACCAGCTGAATGGGATACCTTATTGCCCATGGTAGTTTTTGCATACAATTCAGCACCCCATGAGTCAACAGGGGAAAGCCCTTTTTATGTTTTGCACGCTTTTGACCCTGGGTTCCCGTCAAAAGTAATGCCGCCAGAAGAGCTCTCTTTCAATCACCTGGACTTAGATGATTACAAACGTGAGCTTCTAACTAGTATTGAAATGATCCAAAGGTCGGTAAGGGAACGTAATTTGCAGATGAGAGAAAAGATGAAGCAAAATTATGATAAAAGATTTAACATTGAAAGAAAAAGTTATCCTGGCGTAGGTGATAGAGTCTTTTTGAGACTGCCACGTGAAAAGGGAGTTGAGAAATACCCTAAATTTTGTAATGACTGGAGTGGACCGTATAGAGTGTTAGAAGTTAGCGATAATTCAGCACTCTTGTCACGTCTCAATACTAATGACGAACCAATTAGAGTAAACTATGATATGTTGGTAAAAGTTCCGCAAGAAATAGATGATACGCCCCTAGTAACCAAAACAAAAAGATGGAATAGGAAAAAGCAGTTATCTGCGCATACTAATGCTACTTGTTTCAGAGCTTCGTCATCGCACACGGACAATTCGGCACTAAGTTTGTTCCACAAGTGCACCAGTCGAAGAGGCGAAGATGAATTCGAATGCGATATGCAAGGGAAATGTTTTGGAGATGTCGTGCCAGGTGTCGATCCTGTCGTAGCTGGACTGCCGATCACAACAATCTATTCGCTTGCCCGCTACATCTCAATATTCGAGCAGGAGAGAGATCCAGATAAAAGGAATTTCCTCATGAAAGATCGAAAACATACGTTTATCACGACGTCCGGTGTCCAGAAGGCGTACGTATTCTTCAAGAGGCACTGTCTTCACACAATGCGTGACTTGATGAGGCATGATGGGAGCAGCCTGATGATGAGATACGATGGGAATTGCGGATTAACTATCGATCAAGTGAATGCCCTCGTCAATGAAGGAGTACAGTTTGCTATGTCGCACTCATGGACTGATATCAAGGTGGAGAAGAAGAAAGAACGTACAATGCTGATACTGCCTCAAGGTTTTGCGTACCATAAGTATGTGATAAGATTCAGCGAGTCGACGACGCCCTTTGTATACCAAGGACTTCCAGACATCTGTGTCAAGCTAAAGCAACTGCAGGAACCGTACAACCTCATCTTTGTCGGACCAACGGAAAAGGAACTACCCCCTGAGGGTCAATGGATGCAGTTGACAATGGCTTTTACGAATGCAGTGCGAGCAGGAGGGAAGTTGATAGCCTTAGCACCACCACGCGGAGATCCAGAATGGGAAGCTACGCGATTGAAGACAATTGAAATGATGAATACCATTCGTGAAGCTGCTTACGCAAGCCGTATTAATGTCGTTACGAAGATACCTCAGACGCCGAGCATGGCCGAGCCTGCGCTTGCAGTAGGGATAAGACCCCGTCCTAAGGATTCGTCTGGATATCCTGAAGCGGTAGTTTGGGACTTCATCAGCACCATAGTCGAGTATGTCAAAGGGGATGTCGCTATGGACCCAGTCGAAAAAATAGAGAAGCATCGGGAACGCAGTCGTCACAGCACATACCGCCAGCGTCACTTCGATGATCATCGACACATGCAACCTGGACCGTCCAATCAACACGAGCGAGGATATGGACGCCCACCAGAATACTTCGACCACAGGCGAGAAGATTACAGATACCACTATCGCCCATTCACACCTTACCACAGCTACCCAGGACATAGCCGCGGACGTTTCTACCCTTATTGAGTGCCAGGGGCGACACTCATTAGAGGGGGAGGGATGTAACCGTAGCAGTTTCATTGTTTTGTCATTTTTTGCATACGGTAGCACTCACATTCTGTCTAGGCTAGAAATGCACTCGATCTGAGTTTCTAGGTAGGCCGTGAGGCACTATTGTATCGTCTTTTTGGTTTTTTCTTGTTGTGTAGTTTAGATCTTTGTGTTTTCTTCTTCTCACTTCATTTGAATCTCTTGATGTATCTCATTACTTGTGCGGGGTGCTAAATTGAGGGTTTTTCTTTTACATACGGTTCCAGAAGATCAAGGCGTAGCAAAAGCGCGCCAAATCTCATTGATTGTTTGTTGTCTCCGCCCGCTAGGGCAATGATGTATTCATTCGTTGTTCTTGCGTATCCTTGGCTCACTCGTTCTGTAGTTTGCTCCTGTTCTTATCGAGCCTTTTTGCATTGCTCATTTGTTCTTCTTGTTGTTTCGGTTGCAGTAAACCGTTTTGTGTTTGTGTGCGTTCCAGTGAGTTCTGAACGCGGTACCGCCGCGGAGTATCTAGGCTAATCCGTGTAGCCACTATGCTCGATTACACCCCTATGCCAAATTCCAGCCCCCTAGCTCAAATTTTCAAAAAATCGATAAAATCGATAAAAGTAATGGACGATCTTGAAAACTAATATTGTATTCGTAATCTGCATGCTCGATTACCCCCTGTGCAAACTCCCAGCCCCGCAGGTCAAACTTTACAAAAAAATCGATAAAATCGATAAAAGTAACCGATAATTCTGAAAACTAATATTGTATTCGGAATCCCCATGCTCACTTCCCCCCTGTGCCAACTCCTAGCCCTGTAGGTGAACTCTGCGAAAAAATCGATAAAAATCGGTAAAATCGACATCGATCGATAACGAAAAGTGGACTGTGACACCCGCCGGAGCCCGAAGTGTACAGTACCCACACTAATTATTCGACAGAAAACGCAAAAACTGTCGATCCGCGTTTTTTTCGTTTTTTCTTCATAACTTCCTTCAAATTGCATGAAATAGAAATCCGAAGAAAGCATGATGCTCAGCTCATCAAGATGAATCTTCTGATATACTGCACTCTCGTACTATTCTGTTTTCAATCTGCTCGATTTTTGTGTGAGGACGGGTATTCGTAGTGGTATAACTCTGCGAAGAACACACATGGACGGTTCATGTAAACATGGTTCAGTAGTGCTGTCCCCGTAGATTATCATGTACTAGTGAGTAGCGAACGATTCCCTTTCAATAGGGAAAGATAGGCCGTTCAATTTTGAAAAAATCGATGTCTCTCAAAATTTCGTTACCGTAACCATACAGTAAGACGCTAATTTGCAAAGCAGGTGTGTTTTTCGTGATCAGCAGGTTAGATAACCTCTATGCGCAAATTTTCCAAGGAATTCGGAACCTTTCATTTTTTCTCGTTTTGGGCTGTGAAGCTCGCCGACGGGTTTTGGCTAAAATATTGATGATCTTGGATTGACCGGAAACTTCGCCCATAGAGGTTTTCGGACTTGCTAATTACAGAAATAGTGCCCTCTGTGCAGCATAAGTTCTTTTGGCAGAGTTATGCTGAGAGGAATGCTGCGATACTACGCAAGTTCCTAAGTTTGTCTGCCCTTTGCACGTGTCTGTTAGGCAACTTACCTGCTCCTTTTTGTAATTTGAAATCACTAGTGGCAGTGCTCTTAGAGCATGCTTAAACTAGGTCCTTACCTGTATTGATCGCCGAACTGTGAGCTGACGAACTCACGTCCTCATGAAAATCGTTCGAAATTTTAAGATCGCATATTTTGGCCAAATATCGCCGCGAATGGTCACACATGATTCTGATTGCAGATATTATGTTTATATACACATGTAAATTGATAATTTATGCCGCGTACTGCTGCTTATCCCCTGTGCCAACTCTTACACCTGTAACTCAAAGTTTGCAAAAAATCGATAAGCCGATATCGACCGATGACGAAATGTAACCTATCAGACCAGCTCGGCTCCTAAGGCTGGGTTCATACTGGTTCCCATGTTCCGGAACTGTTCCCGCACAGTCCCGCAATGTTCCTGCACTGTGCTGGGAACTGTGCGGGAACTGCAACTGTGCTGCATGCGCTGCAGCTGCACCGCACGCGTTTTGAACGGCGGGAGTTGGAGAATTTTGACCGTTTTCAACGGTTTTTCTTTCAGATTTCTCTCATTTTGGCCTTATTCCTCTACCCCGCTTCCTTTCCTTGATCAGTAGAACTTCGAGCTCGAAGCGGGGTTGAAGAATGAGCGCTTTTCGCCATGAATTAGGGAGTGATATCTCCTCCATGACGAAGGCAGTCGCCCAAATATGTTGAGAGCATGCAAGGCTGACGCGCACGCGGCGCGCGGGCAGTTGTCAACCATGGGTCGCGCGCACGCTCGCGTGGATGACCGCTGACCTTGCGTGCGCGCGCCCTGTGGTTGACAATTGCCCGCTCGCCGCAGCTTTTCATGCTTTCAACCTATTTGGGCGACCGCCTTCGCCTTGGAGCAGATATTAGGAGCAATTCTGAAGTTGCATAAATTGGGACTTTTCTCTTGTTTTCTGATGAGTTTCCTTTTTGGCCATTCTCAGCCCCCTTTCCTTGTGATGAGAAAAGGTGTGAAATTAAAGCGAGTTAAAGAAATGACCTTGTTCTGTTCTATATCCGAGCAGATTACTCTTTTTGCGCTTGTCCATTTTTTTCCATTTTTGCCCAGGCCTGCTTCATGTGTTTCAGAAGGCGCTGGGTAGTTCTCGCATGTATTGAAAGGGACATGGACAGGTCTCTAAAACACATGAAGTAGGCCTGAACAAAAATGGCAGAGAAGATGGACGAGCGCAAGAAGGTTCATCTTCCCGGATACATGATGAGAATCTCGTTCAATCCTCAACTCCGCTTCAAGTTCACAGCTTTTCTCATCACAAGGAGAAGCGGGATAGAAGAAAGAAAGGAGAAGCAACGATATGGAAAAAGGAAAGAGGCGGAGAATGCCCAAAAACGAAACTCATTAAAACAAGAGGCAAGTCTCAATTCAATCGCAATTTCAGAATTGCTCCTACTCCCTAATTCATAGCAGATGGCTATGGAAACTACGCAGGGGTTTCCTGGAACAATTGGAATAAGTCTGTGTAAAACCAGAGCGAAGAGAAAATGGACGAGCGCAAGATCGCATACGTAGAACAGAAAAGCGCTCATTCTTCAACCCCGCTTCGAGCTCGAAGTTCTGCTGATCAAGAAAAGGAAGCGGGTTAGAGGAATAAGAAAATGAGAGAAATCTGGAAGAAAAACCGTTAAAAACGATCAAAATTCTCCAACTCCCGCCGTTTAAAACGCGTGCGGGGCGGCTGCAGCCCATGCAGCACAGTTGCAGTTCCCGCACAGTTCCCAGCACAGTGCAGGAACATTGCGGGACTGTGCGGGAACAGTTCCGGAACATGGGAACCAGTATGAACCCAGCCTTAGGAGCCGAGCTGGTCTGATAGGTTACATTTCGTCATCGGTCGATATCGGCTTATCGATTTTTTGCAAACTTTGAGTTACAGGTGTAAGAGTTGGCACAGGGGGTAAGCAGCAGTACGCGGCATAAATTATCAATTTACATGTGTATATAAACATAATATCTGCAATCAGAGTCATGTGTGACCATTCGCGGCGATATTTGGCCAAAATATGCGATCTTAAAATTTCGAACGATTTTCATGAGGACGTGAGTTCGTCAGCTCACAGTTCGGCGATCAATACAGGTAAGGACCTAGTTTAAGCATGCTCTAAGAGCACTGCCACTAGTGATTTCAAATTACAAAAAGGAGCAGGTAAGTTGCCTAACAGACACGTGCAAAGGGCAGACAAACTTAGGAACTTGCGTAGTATCGCAGCATTCCTCTCAGCATAACTCTGCCAAAAGAACTTATGCTGCACAGAGGGCACTATTTCTGTAATTAGCAAGTCCGAAAACCTCTATGGGCGAAGTTTCCGGTCAATCCAAGATCATCAATATTTTAGCCAAAACCCGTCGGCGAGCTTCACAGCCCAAAACGAGAAAAAATGAAAGGTTCCGAATTCCTTGGAAAATTTGCGCATAGAGGTTATCTAACCTGCTGATCACGAAAAACACACCTGCTTTGCAAATTAGCGTCTTACTGTATGGTTACGGTAACGAAATTTTGAGAGACATCGATTTTTTCAAAATTGAACGGCCTATCTTTCCCTATTGAAAGGGAATCGTTCGCTACTCACTAGTACATGATAATCTACGGGGACAGCACTACTGAACCATGTTTACATGAACCGTCCATGTGTGTTCTTCGCAGAGTTATACCACTACGAATACCCGTCCTCACACAAAAATCGAGCAGATTGAAAACAGAATAGTACGAGAGTGCAGTATATCAGAAGATTCATCTTGATGAGCTGAGCATCATGCTTTCTTCGGATTTCTATTTCATGCAATTTGAAGGAAGTTATGAAGAAAAAACGAAAAAAACGCGGATCGACAGTTTTTGCGTTTTCTGTCGAATAATTAGTGTGGGTACTGTATGTGTGCCAAGTTTGGTCCGGATACGGCGGAGCCGGGTAAGCCAGCTAGTAAGTTTATAATCCAAGGGACATGGTGTTGTTGTCCTCAAAATGTCATTTGCGATTTAGGTTGAAGCAAAAGTCCTTGTGATACTAACCGAACGATAACTTTACAAAAACTAAACGTTGGGCCACTATTTGTTTCCCAAGAATAGCAAATGATTTGCGCTTTCTGGTAGATGTTCCTATCTGTCCATGAGCTAGCCAACAAGAACGAAACTCGCAAACATGGCGCACGAATTTGCGTTTTTGAGAGTGGTGCTAGAAAACTGCTTGAGGCCGCTAGCTAGCCATAAATGACTGTAAACATTTCTAACATAGCCATAGTCTATACATCACGTGGAAGGCTTTAATCTTGCATAGAAATGAGAAAACAAAAAGCAAAAGCAATGTTTGAAATACAGAAAAACGTCACCCTGTTTATGTTGAGCGCTAGATCAAATTTCTTGTCACAAATTGCGTTTTTGAGATTGGATGCCATGCAAAAAATTTTTGCAACTCTTTTGGATTACCTCAGCCCTCAGCAATTTCTTGATATCAAATTCAAAATAGGAACGCCATTTTCGAAACCTTTCTTCTCGGTGATTAACTCAAAAATACGTTTGCACATTTATTTATATATTTATTTATTGTGCAATCAGAGGTGCGCCAAAAAAACAAAGATAATACAGCAAATCAACATGAAATCGTGCAGATAGCGGTTCTTGAACATCTATTACTATGAGGAACGGGATGGTAACTTAAGGCCCCGGACAGACTTCACGCGATTTGATCGTCGCGACTGAATCGCGACGAGACGACTGTTACACATCATTCCATGCCCATCAACTTGCATTTCGGTTGTGATGCTTTTCCAGCCCGAAATTTTTGAATGTGAAATGAAAATGAATGGAAATGTCGGCGATTGAGTCGCGACGATTAAATCGCGTGAAGTCTGTCCGGGGCCCAACGCTTTTCAAATGGGAGTATGTTGAACTATGGTCCTTGATATTACGGTGAGGGAGACGTACACGTTGGCTGGTATTTTCTAAAGCAGTTCTCTCTTATTGAATTTAGTAGCGGGACTTTGGCAACTATTCAGTTATCGGTCATTTATGAAATCGTGACGACGGATTTGACTGCGGTCTTTGCATGTATAGGAGAATAAAACACGTATACATCGCTTGTACATCTACTTGTTAAAAGGGTTCATTATGAAGATCTTACCGATTCTGTCTTTATTTTTTATTTCTTTCACTTGATTCAGGCTCAGCGATGTCAATCCTTTGTTGTTTTCAAGCTCTATTGCTGGACCATCTGGAACAGCAACTATTCAACAAATGGTGGAACTGATAGATGGTAAGAAGTAGGATGTAAAGAAGAGGTTATGTTCGCGGAATTCTCCGTGATAGTAAATGAATGACCTGCATGACTTGTGTTTGCTTAACAAGACGTCATGAAATTTTTTATTTCATTGCCAAGGAAAGAACTGGATGGTCGGGCTTTGCACAAGTTTGATTCCCAACATTTCGAAAACTATTTTCTATTCATTGCAAAAAGTTACTTGTTCAAAAAGTGGGTTTCGTCGTTGTCGCTTTTCAATAATGATACTTGAATAGATTTAGATAGAAATATGCTAAACCAGATACTTTTCGACTTTTAAAATGAATTACCTAGCTAAGAAATGCTTCAAGGGTTAAATTTACTTAGGCCCGTATGCACGTACATCCCCGCGGGGAGGGAAGGGGATCTGAGAGGGGAAGCGTCAAATCTCGCTAGTCTACATATCTTTCCCCTTCTTTCTCTATTTTGCTTATGAAGTTTCTCATACACTGATACCTGCGCATAACGGATGCCAGGTTACTGTCATACAAGATTAGATATTCACTATCTCGTCTGATCCCCTGGGGATCCCCAGGGGATCACCGCGTATTTTCAAAGTCATTTATCTTCCTGAAAAATCAATGAAAACGCTACAGAATTGTACTGAAGATATACTACGATACTGCTGAGCATGTTTTCGACAGAAGAAATGGAATCTGAAGATTTTGATTTTTTCGGCAATCCCTGGCTGGCGAGCAGGGGTGTATGTCAAGAGGCGCGATTTTTATTGCCAGCTGGACACCAAATAGCACATAATAAGTGTTCTGCAACTTTCTAAAAGTATATGAAATCTAGAAGAAAATATATTAGATAGTTGCATTGGCTGTTCAATCTTGATAATTCATAAATAATTCAAAACAGCAATTTTGAAAGTCAAAAACTCATGAAAATGCATTTCAGAACACATTCGTAAATATTTCAGTTCGATTTATAGCAAAAACCATGAAACTCAGCAAATGGTGACCTCAGACAGATAGTAAGCTAATGCACTTTATCCGGTAATTTTTGAAGACTCGCATAGCACTAAACTGGAGTTTTAAGTTGGTGACAGCCGGAGAAATCGCGCCTCTTGACCGTCTCCCGGCGAGCAGCGGTTCATCGAAGATTTTGATATCTTGAGATTTCACTCATTTCTACCATAAACATGTTTAGCAGTGCTGTAATATATCCTCAATACAATTTTAGAGAATTTTCATTGAGTTTTCAGGAAGATAAATGACTTTGAAAATGTGAGGTGATCCCCTGGAGATTCCCAGGGGATCAGACGAGATAGTGAATATCTAGTCTTATATGGCAGTAATCTGGCATCCGTTATGCGCAAGTATCAGCGTATGAAAACCTTCAAAAGCAAGACAAAGAAAGAAGATGAAAGTTGTATAGACTAGCGAGATATGACGCTTCCCCTCTCAGATCCCCTCCCCTCCCCGCGGGGATGTACGTGCATACGGGCCTTAGTGGTTGCACACCATTTTTCAAAGATTCATTGTAGGCTCACAAAAAAGTCGTAATAAAATAATAAAGGAGTCCGTCCTCAATACCCTCTGGAATATGCATCGAACGCACACTACTTCATGGTCAAAGAGGCGATTGTATGCGTGCGAGCCTATTACAGTGACTTGCGGGGGCCAGCCGGTTACCAGTCACTGCTTTTATCCTCCCAGAATTACTTTGGTACCTATTTACCATCTCCGAAGGATAGAGGGCTTGGTTAGCCCAGAGGCGGGATCGAACCTGAGTTCGACTGGTCATAGCGGCGCCTCATACCACTACGCCACTCATCCCAGAAGGCCATAATGCATTCCGAAATTTTCCGGAAGGCTGGCTAACGCCACTTCCTCCATTTTGAAGAATTCTCCGTCTCCGCCCCTTCTTCCCAAAAAAAATTCGGTTTGCTACTGACAGCAGCAGATGGCACAATTTGTACCAAAAAGGCATAGCACTAGCCTAGCGCAGGCATACAAGCAACTCTAGATGCACCCAAAATTAATTATCTTCAGAATACCAAAAATCTTGAGGAGCATATTTTTCATCGTGCGCGATTGGCACAAACAGTTGAAGTTAAATGCTTTGCCGAAAGAAATGGGACTACATTGGTCCTTGCATGCCGACAATCCCACCTTCCGAGTGATCAATCTTCCTCAGACTTCGGAGACATGGAGACAATTCGCTATTGATTCCTTTGTATACTAAACGTCCTTCGACTGTTCGAACAAAATCCAGACAAGAACCCAGTTTTGCAGCATCATCTGGAAATATAAAAATGAGCATTCTACGAGAAAACACGAAGCCTTCACCGAGTGATTTTTGATCAAAAAACAAGTCTCCTTGTACTACTGTACAGTATTTGAACTCGTTCAAGTAGCCTTCATCTACAGTTCCACCTTTGCAATATAGCGAGACTGTAACAGGCAAATAGAGTATTTGCAGCAGCTCATCTCGAATCTCACCAGCACTTTGCGTTAAAGCAAACAATATCAATGGTCGGTATAGCAGACAAAAATCCATCCGAAAATAAAACCATCCTTCACATGATCCAGTAAACATAAATACCACTGGATAATGATTGACTATGTACAAACAATATGCGATTGGCTGATAACTAGTCTGTGATATGCTTGAAAATCGAGTGATTCTGGTCTAATTGGTATCTACACGCGTAGTGAAAAGCTCTTCTTCATACTCAGGGATGTTTTCTTATTTATTCCTTCAGGTTTCCTTTAGAGGCAGCGTCAAGGCAAATCTGGGCCTATGGGGATCTCACATGGAAGGTAATCTTGGAGCCCTAACTAGAACACTGCCCAAGCGGCAGCTCAAATGGTAAACTCAGTGTAGAGATATTCGCCTCCAAACTGGACCCCGGGACCGTATTTCGCATGGATTCATGGCGCGACACATCAGTTTCGCGCGAGGACCAAAGTCGCGCCATGAATCCATGCGAATACGATCCCGGGGTCTAGTGGAGGCAAATATCTCAAATGTGAGTTCACCATTTGAGCTGCTGCTTGGGCAGTGTCTTAATTAGGGCCCCAAAACTACTTTCCACATCAGAACCCTCTACGTCCAGATTTGCCTGGACGCTGCGTTTAAGGGCCGGGCATAATTTACGCGATTTTAGTCGCAACGCGGTTTGGCAATATTGAGATATTGCCAGATCGCGTCGCGACTCTTTGATATAGGAGAGTTAACATTTTTTAGATGAAAGTGCTACGCACTCCGAAAAGTTTTCTGGGGTGCTTCTCAAAACATTTGCGCAAGCCCCCGAAAATTTGTTTTTTTTTTTCGAGGCTAATTCGAGCTTTTAAAAAATTTGAAAAAATGTCCAATTGTCTAGAGTTAGTTAACACCTCTCCAACACTCAATCATCGACAATATATTCTTCCGGAGTCACTGGATTCTCCCCGGAATCATTTGGGCAAGGTTCTTCAGTACTATTCAATCAAACGAGCCCCGCTTTGCTTATTTTATTGAGAGCATTTTCTGCTGGCAAATGAGCTGGTATGATTACCACTCCATAGATTACAGTAACTTAATATGTTCTTACATATGAGTTATCCATTCACTACAATCCTTACTGCTATTTATTAGGTTGTAAAGAAAGTCCCCGGGCATTTGCGAAAATTTTTTTCAAATCGCTGTAGCTTCAAGCAGATTGATTCTTTTTTGAAGCCACAAACTTCATTGCAAAGACAATTTTGTCGACAACTTGTATTTATCTTGCTGGCTTCTCAGCACCGCACTGCGATCCACGAGCATGCGCAAAAGGGAAAAAGGTCGTCGCGAAAAGTCGCCTATTTGTGCAGGATTATCTCAGGCACGATGAGAGCTGGAGAGCACAGATGCTTTAGTTATGTAGAGTTCCGCCGGGGCTGTTATGGGGACCATTCATGTTTTTGAAGGACCACCTGCACAAAAATTTTCCCCAGAAAGTTTGAAAAATCGACCATTTTTTGCCCCTAAAAATGCACCTTTTTTCGAGTAAGTGAATATGAAGCCTTGTCGTTCTGCATAGAGTGGACCAAATCTTTGACTACTGCGAACATTGTTGGGGTAATGCCTTACACATCTTTTGGATCCATCATCCAGGCGTGACGATCCCCGCAGAAGCGACGCCAGCGGCGAAAAGAGTTGCAGTCAGAAGCAAGTTCGACAGCTTGTAACTTCTGAGCGCAAATCGCAAAACTCGAGTGCAGCTGCGGATTAGAAGTTAACAGGTTCCTCAATCAGATTACTCATGATTTGGACGTAATTCTTTGAACTGCACAGAAAAATGGGCGCAGGAAGAAAAACTGCGAAATTTTCGTGGTTGGAATAATTTCTCTTTTTGTTGTGCAGATCGAACACGTTTTGGCATCGATAAAAGTCAGACGGCCGATTGGAATTTCCAAGCTTCCCTCTACTGAACAGTATTCAAAACTTGGTGTCAAAGTCCGACCGAGCGCCGAAAAAATGCGAGTGAAAATGAATTTTCCAAAAGTGCCCGGGAACTTTCTTTACAACCTAATATTTGAGTCACTGCACTCTCCTCGGCATACTGGTTTGGTAAGATTAGACAATTTATCAACCATCAAACCGTTTGCTTGTTGAATCAAAATTATTTTGCTGACAAGAGGGCATGGGTTCCATCTCCATGAAACACACTAATTCAGCTTAGAGCAGTCACATAAAGGGGGAGACGGTCTTTTCGCAGGCGGTAACCTAGCGCTACCCTGATTTTGACTTGTCTCAACATGTCACCACGCCGCAACTCTTTCCTCCCCTAGCCTCGCTTAGGCAAAAGTCGCCGCAGAGTGTGTCGCGCGCGACGGCGGTCCTGCGCAGAAAGAATTATAGTCGTGCGAGAAGCCCTACACCCACATAAAGGCTTTTATCACATTTTTGATAATCCAATCCGAAAGGTTAGACCTAAACTACATGATGAACTGTCGTGGTTAGAATATGAGTAACTGTGTATTTTTTGTTCCTTTTAAGGAACGCCTAAAGCGTATGGAATAAATAAAATAAAAATAAATAACGAGTACCATGCCCAGGCTCGGTACGAGGTGGCTTTCGGAAAGTGCAAAAAACGAAGTCCCCTTGAATTTCGCGCACTTCACGAAGTCTCCTCTGACTCTTAACCCTAAGCATAAAAACCCTCAAAAAACGAAATTTCGACTAAAAAAAGAAACTCCACAATTTTTGTGTCTTTTCGGCCTCAAAAACGATAACTCCTTTGCTTTTTGTCCGCAAAACGGTATCCAGCTTGCTTACAAGTCACCTGTGCCGAGTCCTGACCATGCCTTTGACTGCTCAAGCAATTTCGAATCCAAATTTTCGAATAACATTTCATCCCAGGATGACATGGCAGTTGAACTCCCCAGGAACTGGATAGTATTAGGTTGTCCCAAAAGTAAACCGTATTTTTGAAAAAATCAAACTACCCTAAAATCCTGCCAATAAGTCCGGCCTTATCTGCATCTTTTGACACGAAAAATTGATAAAAAAATCGCCCTCTGCGCTGCCAGAAGTCTAGCAGATGAATTCTCCCATCAGACCGCAGCAGATCTGCTAGACTTCTGGCAGCGCAGAGGGCGATTTTTTTTTATCAATTTTTTGTGTCAAAAAATAGATAAGGCCGGACTTATTGGCGGGATTTTAGGGTATGTATTTTTGTTTTCCTGGCAGACTTGGGTACCATCCGATAAAGCGAAGAAAGCTTTGCAAAATGACCACCAAGGGTTCGCCTAAGTCGCATTTCATGTAAAGTTTGAAGCCAAAATCGAAAAAAAAATTTTTTCACCTGAAAATGGGATTTCGCGAGGAAGAACCCTACGGACCCCCAACTTGGTTATTATACAGTAGGCACATAGTAGTACTCAAATAAGCTTTTGCCGAATTTTTTCCGAGCATAGAAAGCGAGAAACAAAAATTGTCCAAAAATGTCAAACTCCGCCCCCAGCCCCTCCCACATGTGTGATTGTATACTACAAGCCTTACTAAGTACAATTTCAAAATTCTACCCCTGTATGTGCTCTTATATTCGAGAAATACGAAGTTTCACATAAAAACCCAAAAAAAGTGGCATTGCACTTTGGGACCCCCTTCGTTTCTCAATTTTGAACTCCGGAAGAAATCAACCAAAATTATTTTTCGATACTACTATGGATCTACTATATTAGACCGAGTTGGAAGTCCGTAGGAATTTTCTGAAAGGAGATCCGATTTTTAAAGTAGCTGAAATATTTTGATTTTTTGGATCCAAATTTCACCTGCATAGCGACTTAGACGGTTCTTTGTTGGGCGTTTTGTAGAGCTTGCTTCGCTCTATCGAATGGTGACCCAAGTCCGCCAGAAAAACAAGAACATTTTGATTTATGCAAAAATACGGTTTACTTTTGGGACAACCTAATATGTAGTTTCAAAATAACTTCCAAAAATCTAAATAAAATATTAGGACTATACTATTAGGTTGTCCCATAAGTTTTTTCATATTCGGACCTTCAATTCGATTTTTCTCAGGAACTACAGCACCTAGTAGGCTGCAAATTTTTGGCAGTAATTCTAAGCGAATAAGCTACATAATCACCTACTTGCGGGGAATACAGAAGTGATACAGGCAAAGTTTGAAAATTGAGCGCATTATTTTTTTCTTGGTTTCTAGCCATCAGAAAAATACAGCAAGTGCATTTATAAATATCCGATGAGGAGAGTATATGCATGAAAAATTAGGAAATTTGCAGAGCTGTTTTGAACTGAGATATGATGATTTTCGTTTTTTCGGAAAATCGGGAAAATTTTTTATTTTGGCTTGGAGCATGTTGCGGATTGGATTTGGTGCGAACTTTTTAACGCCATCTTGTAGAGCTTACTTTGATCTGTCGAATGGTACCCTGCAATTCATCAGGAGTTCAAGAAGAACTGATTTATGTCGTTAAAAAGTCAGGTATGAAAAGACTTATGGGACAACCTAATATATCTCTATTTGATCTCTTGTATGCGATTTTCAGAAATACGAATGCTGAATTATTCGATCAGACAATTACCCTAATTTCACGCGTACAAGGCACACCTTTTCGATTTTTCAGATAAGCCGCTTGGCCGCTTCACTGTACCTCGGGAAGCGATTTTTATGCCATACGATTCTTTTGAGCAATATACAGCAAGGTATAGGGCCCTTTGGTTACGAAGTCCTTCGGCGTGGTTGGCCTCGTCGATTTTGGAAAAATTTCCCCCACGCCTTGTACGCGTGAAATTAGGGTACCATTTGTAAATCATTTATTTGGTGTACCTTGATAGGAACATAATTTTTCGAAATCTTTTGTCCTTAGTAACGATTGTCGTTCATGGAACACGTGTAACAGTTTCTACTGAGGGAAGCAACTAAACCAATGTTTTATTGGAATATTTCAGCAAACAATTTCTCCTTAGGAATATTTTGAAGAAAAAAGATATTTCCCATTTGTGAAGTGATTTTTCAGATTGATTATTCTATTAGCTCTTTATGGAAATTCAAATTGTCTACTTTACCCTGATTTCCTTTACTCGGATAGGACAAGGTCTCACTCTAAGTTTTTTTTTTTGAAGTTCGATGGATAGATACACAAATTCTGGATTACGTTCATTTTTTTCATTCATTTTCCGTATGTGCTGAAAATAGAAAAACTCTACATAAAGGCTGCAAATAAATGTAAGTTCCAAATGAATGAATTAAGACTCCAAATCACTCCTGCACATCTCTCCGGTCTTTAGGGAGAAAACGATGGTTTAACAGTCTTCATACAACAAACTTCATTAGGTCGACAGCCCGCCCGTGGTTCCAATTCTTTGGTATTATTACTGTTGTTGTTTTTTTTGTGCTTCTGTGTTGTTTCACCTATATAAGCAACCATGTTCATGTTAAGAATTTTTACTTAACCTAATTGTTCCAGGCATTGCAACAAAAGCAAATCACACGCGGTTTCCGGCTGAAAATTTTTTGCGACTAGATTGTCTCCCTGCGCCACCGTCTTAGACTATTATATGTGTCCAGCAATTTCAAAAAAAAAGTAGAAGGATCCGACATCCGCCAACAAATTGCCGATCAAGGATAAATTTCTTCAACAAGATTACAGTTAGGCTGAATGTTCACTGAGAGGACTCTAATCGCCATTGCTCGCTAAACAGCTAAACTTGCCATTGAGCGACGGCAGTTAGAATCTAACAAGTGAAAAGTTTAGCTTAGAATATAAGACTGTGAATTCCATGCCGCAAACCGCTCTTGACATTTGCGTTGCTAGTTTATCATTTGTATCTCAAGTATGATAATTTGAAGATGTTTTTATCATAAATGTGCTTACTGTCCAGATCTCCGCAAGACAACCTGTCGCTGTAGTTTTGTTTGACATGGTACTCAAATACGAAAAATGCACAATGAAAGAACAAAAACACACTTGAGTCATCTGTGGTTTACGCAACATCTAATCAAAGATCTCTATTACTGTACACTATAAATCTATCCAAAAAATTCGAGCGTCGGAAAGACATACAACGTTACTCATATACGTCTTCTCGCTCACAAATGTACTTAAAAACATCGCGAGGTGTTTTAAGCTTTTCTGAGTCTTCCAAAGGAATTTCAAAACCAAATTCATCTTCCACTGCCATCATTATCTCCACCTGAAAAACAGGACCGGGTATAAATGTTATAAGCGCAAGACATACCTGATCCAAAGAATCAAATCCAAGATCTTTGCTGAAATCAGCTTCAAGTTTGAGCATCGTTTCCTTGTCAGCTGGAAACCGATCCCACGCCCGGATAGCTTTCAACACGCGTTCTTCAACCTGTAATAAGCAAAAACATCTGAATCTCCAAAAAAGACTCAAAAACTACTGGAACAACGGTGAATAAAACAAACACAATTGCAGCACGAATCAAGTAACCCAAAAAGTAAAACCTTTTGCTTGCACGTTTTTGAAAACTCTAGCACCCTTTTGAACCTAGCGTGATTTCGTTGCATTTTTTTGCTGAAAACGAAGTAATACTAAAAAGTCTGCGACTGCTGAATATTTTTCACGAGCGAAATATGGCCAAAGCCTCCAGAAAACATTCGCAAGGAAAGTAGTTAGAGAACAAAACACAAAAATGCTTGATGGGAAGAGACGTTGACCAAAGACTAGAACGAAACAAAAGAAAAATAATAATGTGAAGATATCAGTGAAACATATGTGAAAGCTAGATAGAAACGGCCGCCTCAAAGGGGACATGCTATATCAACCTATTATCTTTCATTTCAAGCCACTGCGATTCTGCCCCTTCTTGAAGTTTAGCACAACGGTTTTGAGAATTTTTATTTCAAAAAAATTAGAATCTCCCTTCACTTAAGCTAGGCGCTTTGCTAATTTGCGCATATTTTCGCAATGTCCTCACTCAATTGAAGACCGCTGGTTTCTGCATGTCTCAAGAGATAATCGGGAAAAGCAGAGCATCCGCTCGAACAATTAATTTAAATACTCTTCCTTTTGGATGAATAAAAAGGCATGCCAAACTACATTTGGTCGAAGAATTCACTAAAAGAACACACACCTGCTTGAATGTCAACTGCTTTGGTGGATCAAATGGACCAAAAACTTCAACTTGGCTGAACCTGAAAAGGTAATTCATTGTACTCTGTAAACCAAAAGACGCAGCCGCGCTTCTGATCTTTCTACCATCTTGAAACAAAAATCACAAGGTAGGCATACATGACAATAGCTGTTTTGAGATAAAACTCACAATTCAACTAACTACTGTCAGTTGACTATCTATCTCAAGTTTGGTTTTCGTAAGTTTTCAAGAAAGTACAATATATTGAAGGTGTTCTGCACTCCTGTGTTCCTCGCAAGATAGAATATCCCAATGTTGTGAAAGAGAATCTTGAGAGTAAAAGTTTTGAATATCAGCACTTAGCGGTCACAATTCAACTAACAGATCTGCTGACGGAAACATTTTGAGAAATGCATAGATGTGGCAAAGAGGCCCATACCTCTAAACACAACATTCGTAATTCGAAATACTCTAACAAAAATATTCGCAACAGTAGCCACTTCGTGATAAATATCAATAGAGGCTCATCGAAACACCGCCGCCGCGCTTTCACCGTCTGAAAACTTATCGCATGCAGCTCAAATTTTTCCCGCACGAACTTTTGAAAGTCCGGTATGTACTACCAATTTCCAAACTTACACAATGACCAGTACACAACTTATGCTGATGCATGCTGGCTTTGATTGTTATTCTATGGAGCGAAAAGACTAATTCGATAAATCCACAATTTCAGCTATACTTTTCGGTTAAACTGAGAAAATTTTTCGCTCACATCAAAAACACGTTTTGGCGCTGAAAATGTTAAATTCAGTAACTAGCATCCACTAATTTACTTCTAATGGAAGTAATTTAGCAGATACCGAAGAATCGAAAACAAGTTTCTAGGACTGCTAGCGGTCATTTTAGATTAGAAACATTTTGAAATCATTTAGGTGTCCATATCAACAAACAAAAAATAAAGTGAAACCAAATGACTAACCGCTTCTGATTTAGCGATGCGGAGGGAGCGGCTAGACGACTTATAAGCGATGAAGGCCTTGTAACGATGCCGGCCAGACCGCGGCGGGAGACTGTTAAACATGTCGCGATCCTGTAGGCTGAGCTCCTCCACATCTGGCAATAAATTATAGATGTCGAGAAGAAGATAGTGGATAAGCAACAACATAACAAAACATGCAATTATGCATCCGGCAGCTGACAACGGTATGCAAAAATTTGACAAATTAATTCAACAAGAAATACAAACATAAAAAAAAACTTCTCAGAATTTTCGAGTGTACCAGCTTTCCGCAGATCGTCTTCAAAACAAAGAGAGAGCCTTTTATTCCCTACTAACTTCTGTAAGCACAAAGATAGTTTTGAACTAATTTAAAATTTTAGCATAATCCAAGAAAATTTAGAAGGGAAGACATCACAATCAACTTTGATAAATGACAAACCAGTTGTTTATATCGAGAATTTGTTTTTTCCATCAATTCATGCCTCAAGCCGAGTAAATATCGAAAACAATGGCGTTGGAGCACGTTTGCCAACGCCGTTTCAGATTCTCACATCAATCTTTACGAGTCGAATCCATGCTAGCATTCAGCTATCACCCACATATTCTCTGACTAACAGTAAGGGACCTGTCATAATTTGCCAAGAAAAGCCCAAAAGCGCCCAGTAAAGCCCGAAAAAGACGGAAAAGCCCAAGAAGCCAGAAAAAGCCCAAAAGAGCCGGAACGTAGAAACGAACTTGTGGTAGAGTTCTGACATTATTTTGTGCAGACGACGGAAAATGAAGCAGACTCGGTTGCAAAATCAACACACATGCCTTGGCGTCAAAACGGAATGGGCGTTTCAGCTCTCTCCGGCTTTCGGGCTTCTTTGGACTTTTTTCGACGAAGTATGACGGATCCTTAAGTGACTCGAGAACGCCGTTGTCCAGTAAAACTTAATTATCGTAAAAAAACTTTACAGGTACCGACTAATTGAAAAGGTGACTATAGCTTACATTTACGATTCATCTCAAGCTACATGCCCCCATATCATTATTTACTGAAGTGGCAACGAGGTTTGGATGACGAGATACGATAGAGTATGTTCTCCAGCCTGCTCATAAAGGCAATCCTATACGCTGCACTACTTTCGTTTAGTCCCTATATTTGCTGTTTGTGTGAAAAGCTCTAATGGACTCAATCTTACCGCTTATATAAATAACATTGTGCAGTCAAAGTACTGAATAGTGCATAAGCCAAACTCAGTGCTAGCTGGCTCTTCCATTTTAGCTACTCTTGTAAAAGACACGAATGCTATTTTAGAACCTTTAAACGATTGCAAAGCCAGGAAAAGCGATGTGTGATTCTCGAAAAATTTCTGTGCACATACACTACTTCAGCAGCCTTTGATAAGTGATAACGATGCAGGAATGGCCTGCAGATCATAACTGAGACTATTTGCAGACGCAAGGTGTTATAACAAAAATACCTTTTACCTGCTGTATGTCCAACGTGAAAAAGTATCTTGATGGAAACATGAAGGGCGACAATACGCAAAGTAGTTGTGAGCAAAACAAGTTCAATAATCAACTATTTATGAATAACAAAAACAACAACAAGTTTACTTGTGGTGTTTACGCTGGGCAACAATAACACTCTGGAGATCCTCACGCTTCTTCTTGGCGCGAAGGTGGGTTCCCACTCGCTTCTTGAGGAATTTTAGGGCTCGCTTATCCTTGGAGATACGCAGCAACTCGAGTACACGCCTTTCATACGGAGCAAATCCAGTGATCTCGCGGACAAGTTCACGCACAATCTAAAATCACAATCTAAAACCATGTGCTCGGTTTTAATCTAAGTGAAATCTAAGTGATCAGAATGTCTTGCAGGATGCAAACAAAGAGATTTAAAGCTGGTATGAAGGAAGCTTGATGCAACAAATCCAAACCTTTGCCTTCTTGCTGCAAGCCCCGATGTGTCGATTCTGACGTGGTTTACGGTCGATCTTCGTCACCTTGTGCCCTTTGTTAAGGCCCACCGCAAGCCCTTCAATAGCGGGTTGCGACATCCCTCAAAGGCAAAGATAATAAAATGAAACAAGTAAACAGCAAATCTGCCACAGAACACTTAAAGATAGGCTCTGATCACAACAGTTGAACACTCAAAATATTTGAAAGGGAAACTTTATACATATGTTCTTGAGCAAATATGATATCCATACTTTACAGATGGCACTACCCATATGAAAATATATACATTATTACAATGTGGACCAGCCACGTCGACTCCAAAGATAATTCAACGGGTGTTGCGCTGAGGAACTACTATTCCTGAGAAAAAGTTGATAAAACTGTCTGTGACTAAACGAGATGGTGTGAAAATGTTCAGCACCGGAGTTGGTCGTCGGAGTTCTTTAGGTTTCTCCCATGAAGCCTGCAAGAACGTTGAACAAAGCAATCAAAAGAGGCATCAATGTCCTGTACAAATCATGCAAAATTATCAAAAAAAAGGAACTTACCTTGTAGGAGCTGATGATAAATAAAGGGAAGAAAGTCCCGAACACACTTCCGTTAAGCAGAAAATTGTTACTCAATGTTGAAACGAATGTAAGCGGAGCACCAAATCCAATGAAATATGGCAAATAAGCTTCAAGCCGTTCAATGCGCTTATGAAGCAAAACACTTCTAGATGACCAGAAATATTCAAAACTGAAAAAAAAAAGATTTGCGACATCAAAAAAGCTAGAAACTGAAAAGACTAAGTTCATCAATCATCCACCTGTACATCGAATTGAGGAGTGACAAGTGAATGAAAGATATGATAGAGCATATGAAACTTGGAAGCGGAAGATATGACACAAGTATAGCTTGGGCAAGAAACACACATCCCAAAAGAAGAGAGACTAATAAATCCGATATAGCTGTGCTAAAATAGAAGCGTTCAATCAGCTCCAACGATATCAACAACTTCGAAAGACTCACCTAAGCTCCACGCTAGGAGGTGGATCCAGTTTTAGGGTACGTAAGCAAGCACCTGCTATGTCAGAGAACCACAGAGCCAGCACGATACGAGTGAACACAAAGATGGGAAGAATCACTAGTTGAGACAGGACAGCAAATACACCAGCAGACATATTATCACCGGAAGAACACAGCTTCAACAGCACCCAAACTAGTATCCAGACACCGGCATTGGTCGCTATACATTGCAGCACACTAAAAGAATCAGCTGTGTGCACCCAACTACCTGAGCTAGGTCTGTGGTACGCATATGTTAAAAGCACTTTCCACCCAAGACTGGTGAGAGTTCAATGCAAAATACAATAGCGATGCCCTCAGTTAACTGCCCCATTACGAAATTTCGATTGCAAAGGAGAAAACCGCTCCAGAACCTGACTGGTGCTTGGGCCTGCACGTCCATTAACATAGCGACCGAAGTAATGACCACGAAACTAGAATAAAATGTACCTGGAAAGATTAGAGAACGCACTTTGCTTGTGAAAACACATCTTCGACATCTCTAACAAGGGAAAGATACTCAATGTCCGTGGCTTTTCGAAACCTGATTCATACTATTACACTCGTCTGAGAACGCTGATTCCGAATCTGCCTTCCGTTTCTGCTGAACATTTCTCTGAAAGAAGTTATGGGGGAATTTCGAGCCAAGTTTGGCTGCTCAAGGGAAATATGGTCATTGGAACGGCTTCTACCGCGGCCACTTTCACGTCTAGTGGTTAGTGCGATATATAAGTTGATGCAGGTGTAGGTTCAATTCCTTTTGTGTTTTTACTTTTGCATTACCTCAATTAAGCTTGTTCGAGAAAATTTACTTGAACTATGATCATTGGATACAATTTAGCGCAAATAGTAATCATTTTTTCCAAATTTCCACATTTTTTGAAGAGTAAGGGCGTTCACTCAGGTCAATGATGCGAAAGAAGTTAATTGAGGCAATGCAAAACTGGAACAAAAGGATTCGACCCTGTAACTGCATCAACTCATGAGGCTATCGCACTAACCACTAGACCAAAGTGCACCGGTAGGGCGCTCTGACCCTATTTCACGGGACAGCCAGAATCCGCGCGATCCATTATAACATTTTTGCAGCGATTAGCAGAAACAGAAGTCAGATTCGGAATCAGTGTTCCAAGACGGTGTAATGGTATACATATCATCTCAAAATATATATATATATATATACTATTTTTGGGCTCATTTGTTTCAAACTACCCAGGTTGATGGGCATGGCAACCGCGACCCCTGGCAGCATGCACCTTCCACATCAAATTTGTAGTTTCGTAATATAGTCTGCCCCAATCCTAACCAGGCCAAAATTGGCTTGGCGGGAGTGCGCGTCGCGAGGGTTTCGCGCCACTTCTGCGTCTAGCTAGTCTGCTCTCTCTTCAATCTCTTCGCTCTCTGCGACAGCGCGCGTATGCAGCGCAAACCCCTAGCGCTACGAGCGCGCAAATTCAGCCGAGGGTTTGGCCTGGTCCCGATTGGGGCAGACTGTACACCTTTTGCAGCGATACTTGGGCAGTTACTAAGTCAGATCGTTACTGTACCCCATCAAAATCTCACCGAGCTTAGATTAAGATAGAAAAGTGCTTTTGACGGCTTCAAAACTATATGCAAAAGTAAAGTTTCAAAAACGAATTCATGCGATCATCACTTGCAAAAAACATAAATCACACACCGTTTCCAAACGCGCTCCCTTCTTCTATAAATTCTTTCAGCAGGTCTTGCGATCGTACCTCGTTGTTCTCTTCTTTGCTGAAAATAAACGGAATCGCTTTATGATTTGAGATTTGTGCAAATCCTAACCTGCATGACTGTTTTTGGTGCAGAACGCGGTGCGCTGTTGACCACCACGTACTCCTCATCCTTGTCTAATTGACTCACAAACTGCAAAGAAAGTACTTACGGCATGTTTTACATTCAAAAGATCATGCTATACCGCTGATATCTACTACTCACCCATAAACCACGAAAAGCATCAAGACATCCTCTGACCAGTTCGCAGGACACATTCCATAGGAAGTGCGACATTCTAACCGCACATCTGCAAAGTCAAAGAAAGAACTTGAATGTCGTAAAGAACGCGACCAAACGGAAAAGGGATTTGCAAGCAGCTGATACAACTCTAACCCTAGAGGACAACTATAGCCATACACATTCACAGGGAAAAAACAAGTCAAGTTCCCAAAACCAAAAAGAAAATTGACGAATTCTATGGATTGCAGTACAGTATCGGAAATGTGCTGAAAGATTGCAGCGCGTCGACTGTCGCACATTGTGATACGCAGTCTTTGCCGTCCTTTAAGAAGTGCCGCGCTCCCAAAAATAAATGCAAATGATTTTCTAGATTTTTCACAGGAACTTGCCAAAATTCCTTTTTCTGCTCTTTCTGGTAGTGTCATCACTTATATTGACAGCTTAACTGCATGTCTCGTATTACAAGGGCCACGAATCCTTGGTTTTTGGGTCTTTTCAAGTATATTTGTCAAAGATCCATCGAATTCTGGCTTTTTTGAATAATACTCTACATGCTCGCGCATCGTCATTTTCAAAATTTTACAGCGCAACATTTTCAGTCTTGGATAATGGCTCCCGCTCGCAAGGGAAAAGCTAAAGAAGAACAGCCAGTGGTTACGCTCGGACCACAGGCTAAAGAAGGAGAGCTAGTGTTCGGAGTTGCTCACATCTATGCATCATTCAATGACACATTCGTCCACGTGACGGATATCTCAGGTTAGTGCTAGCACTTTTCACGTCCTTCATTTCCAACAAAATTTTCACTCTCTTGAATTCTTGTAGTGGCTCACATAATTGCAAGCATACCCATCATACATGGTGCAGTTGCTCTTTTTCCGCCTTGGAATTTGTGTTCATGTGTTTTCGATGGTTCAAGCGTTATCCATATGCTTAAAAAGTTTCGTCGTGAATGTCTCTCGCCCGGTCAGACATCGCTTAAAAACGCTCAAAAGCGTCCAATCTCTAATTCTTTCATCTCTCCTCACACGAAAAAGTGAAGGGACATTAGAGAAATTTTGGCGCTTTTGAACGCTGAGAAGTCTAGCCAGGGCCTCAGATTGGTTCCTGAGATTACATGCTTATCATATAAACCGTACTCTTTTCTCATAGTAACCTTTCCGCGGACCTATCGTAGGCATACGGCAACGAACCTACCACATTTGTCCGACTGTGCGGGATGTTGTCTGTGCTTTTCGCGAAGTTATACCTGCTTGTCACAGTGATCTTTATTGTGGTTGCAGTGAACAGTGTAAAGTCAACATTCTAAATTTTGCTGAAATACTGTAGTCGCGGTTACCTGATTGACCTCCACTATACCAAAAGTGTTCTCAAAGGCCATTGATAATGATTCTCTTAACAGTGGTGTGTCCAGTTTGGATCCCAAGCCGTATTAAAACACTTTATTATGAAAAATTTACTGCAATACACGTCGTCAGCGGTCAGATAAACTCTTGAACAGTAGTTAAGCAAATCTGTAATCTAGATAATCTCATCTGATGTAGTACCCCTCCCCTCCCCCCCCCCCCCGGAAAATGGATCGCGAAATTTTCCAAACTTACTTGCATGGGTTATAAAAATGTGCACTGTTTATTATTGGCCCTCTTTTTCTAGGTTTTAGGGGCACCCCGGAAATTTTTTTGGGTGGCTAACGCCACGCACCTCTATTTGTAAAAATTTTTGCCGCCCCTCCTCCGGACCGACATTCTGCGACCGCCACCGCTATATCGTATGTACAATATCCGCGGAGGTGGCGTTTTGAGTGGTACGAGTATGATATCCATGGTCAGCGTATCGAATAATCCCCCCTCCCTTCAAATTACTGCCATCTATGACTACCTTCATACCATATACCTAAACTCACTTCACAAAAAGACAATGGTCATGTCAATGCTCAGATTATTTTGAGCGAGATCCATGACTATGAAATTTTGGCGCCAGATTTTCAAAGAGCAACCTTTTAAGCTCGTTTTTTTTTTCATTCAAATTCCTGCTCGGTTTGCATTATAGGTGAGTTTTATATAAAATCGTGTCGGCGGATTTGACTGCGGACTTGTTCAATGCAAACAGAAAAGCCATTCAAGTAGGGATGAAAACCAAGAAAAGCGGTTTGCGAGTTTGCATCTGGCGCGCGTTCGCGCCGTCCTCACGATTTTTCGGTCCTAAGCTCTAACGGCTCTAGAGAAGCAAAAAATATCCGAAAAGTCGAATGAGGATAGTATACGATTCAACATCGGAATTCGGATGGCTGTGCGTGCACCATTAGCATGTCTGCACTTGTATCTTTTCTTTATGTTTGAACGGATCATTTCTCAAATATAGTGAGGTTCAGGCTCTAATTTCAATTCCTCGAGAATCTGACTCGGGACAAAGGAACAAACACTTCTTCCATAAAGCAGCCAACTCCTAGAGTTTGTAAGGATGCTATTTGCTGCACCGACGTCCTCGACGGCTTGAAATGGCACCTTCTCACTCCTAAATCTCGTCCATTTCTAGTCTTTTGCGAATCATAAATCGACTTTTTCTGCTAAAGCTCAATCTCAAAATAAAAACAATTCCACGATAAATAATTTCGATTTAATTACTAATTTCAAAATTTGTTTTTTATTACCAAGTTTATTATGAGTTCTTTTCAAGGTCGTGAAACTATCGTGCGTGTCACTGGTGGTATGAAAGTAAAAGCTGATCGTGATGAGTCCTCTCCGTATGCCGCTATGTTGGCTGCTCAAGATGTTGCGGAAAGATGCAAACAGGTTGATAACCAGTGTTTTTCGCCTTTGAACTTTACATCATACTTGCTTTTAGCTTGGAATCAATGCTCTGCACATAAAGCTTCGCGCTACTGGTGGAACTAAGACCAAGACTCCAGGACCGGGCGCTCAAGCTGCTCTGAGGGCACTTGCACGCAGTGGAATGAAGATCGGTCGTATCGAGGACGTTACACCTATTCCTTCAGATTGCACTAGGAGAAAGGGAGGTCGCAGAGGACGTCGTCTCTAAATTGTTATTTGTTATGTGAAATGAAATGTTTTCTGTTTAGAATTCCAAAACTCATGAAAAAGTGTCTATTGCAGAAGTTTTGCTATTGTGCACTTGGAAATATTGATTTAAATGAATTCACTAAACAAGAGGTAAACTATACGTAGACTAGCGTACCCGGTTTCGTTCGTTGTCATAACATTAAATATGTTTTTGCTTTTATAGCGAAAAGTGCAGTAAAAAAACAACAAATCCATAGACGAAATCGTTAGTTTCCAGCATGTTTACTTCTTTCCTATCAAAAAAGGTGCGCTTTATGTGCAAGATTTGTACTGGAGATGATATTCAGTAGCATTGTACAGCAGTTTGCTCCAGTATTCAAAGTCTGTATCAACCTGCGTCGATTATGCGGTCGCACTGTGGCATGCGACCGTGATGTGTGCGCATGCGCACTCTGCTACGCGTTGAGGCACGTCACATGCGATCGCAGGCATACCAGCGCGGGACCGATGCTGGTTGATACAGCCTATAACTGGTGTTTTATGACATCTGCGAACTTGAATTTCACGGATATATTACTTCTTGGGAAATTGCAGGGGTAATTTGGATGAAAACTACCGTACGGGATATGAGGGAAATAAGGCATGTGAAAAAATGGTAACATCGTTAGGCATTATGGAGAAAAGCGCCTTGGATGAAAACTACCGTACGGGATATGAGGGAAATAAGGCATGTGAAAAAATGGTTCGTTAGGCATTATGGAGAAAAGCGCCTTGGAGGCGCTATTCGGCTATCCGGGCCCCAAAAATTTTTTGCCATGGATTTCGCTCAAACTTGGCCCAGGGGGGTTATCTGACATGCTGATCACGAATATCACCTTTTATCCGCAGGAAAGCGTCTCCCTGCAGGGTTACGGTAGGTATACGGTAGGGGGTCACAATCACGGATTTGTCCGAAACTCCGTCTAGAGAGGTTATTTGGCATGCTGAACACGAATATGATGTTAATTTTGTGCGACAGCGCCATCCGGTGGAGTTACGGTAGGACTACGGTAAAGGGTCAAGATCACGGATTTGCACAAAACTTGGCTCAGAGGGGTTATTCGGCCCGTTGATGCCAAATATCACATTGGTTTTAAACCGTAGCGCCATTTTCTCGGGTTACGGTTGCTACACGGTAACGATTGTAAAACATAGTTCTGCTTAAAACGGGTGTACGGCGATTCGGACGATCGTGAAGCTTTGCACACACGACCGCCGCCGCGCGCTACACACCCAGCTGCGGCTTTTGCCTAAGCAAAGCACAGGGGAAAGATACATATGCCGACTTGTGATTTTGACCCTTACCGGAAATCTACCGTAGCCATGCAGAGAGACGTTTTCGTGCGGAGGAAGTGTGACATTTCTAATTAGCATGTCGAATAACCCCTTTGTGCGGAGTTACCGAGGATTTTGACCTTCTACCGTATACCCACCGTAACCCGAGAAAATGACGCTATGGTACAAAACCAATGTGATATTCAGCTCAGCGGGCCGAATAACCTCCCTGGGCCAAGTTTCATCCGAATCTATGATTTTGACCCTCTACCGCGTACCTACCGTAACCCTGCATGGAGGCGTTTTCGTGCGGAGAAAAGGCGATATTCGTGATCAGCATATCAGATAACCCCTCTGGGCCAAATTTGAGCGAAATCCATGGCAAAAAATTTTGGGGCCCGGATAGCCGAATAGCGCCGAAAAATTTGTCAGACCAAACTTCATCTCTTACATAGTTCGGCTCCATCCTTAGCGAAAGGTAAAAACGAGGTGGCTACGAAGTGGTGTGCTCGCGTCCATTAGAAGAATCTCAATCAGTTTGCATGATTGCTATAGTTGACTGCACAGAATCGCCCAGGCTGAACGCTCGCGAGGGTGTCTCTTGCGGGCTAGCGCTGGCATTCGCGCATGAGTTCATCATAGCGCCCATCCATACTCGGCAGCCGCGTTGCAGGCACGCTCGCGGGCGTTCGGCCTACAGCGATATGGGCGATTTCGCGCAGTCGACTTCAATAAGGAATATGAACGCTCCGGGAAGCGGATATTTGTGACAGTATGAACAAGGCTGACGTGGACAAGGCTTTGCGAAGCCAATGTTGACAATGGGTAACAGCAAGTAGCGCTTTGGTGTTTTGTAGGTGTTATTTTGTCAACACTTATCTACTTGAGCACGAACTGTCACACTCCGAATATGTAAACAACAGGAGTGGTTTAGCAGCGAACGAGTGAGATAAGACTCACACAGGCATAAGCCAGATCTCTATGAAAAGTTGATTTTTCTTCTTACCAAGTCCACGGAAGTCTATAGGTCCAGATTTCGTAGTTGGATATGTGTTCCTCTTTTACATGGTTTTAACTGTTGTAGGAGGTGAATTCCTTATGTCAGGCAGAAAAGTGCAAGTTTCGAATAAAAGGCTCACCACGGTTGTTTACGCGTTCATCGATCAGAAAGGGGGCGAGCGCGTGAGTTGTTTACGCTGCACATAGTGAACCGCTCGGTTTCGTTTTAGGTGAGTCTCTACTTATGGCTTTACTTTGTTTTCGGATTGGATCAGAATTGTTGATAGTATGATAGTATTCACTTCATCCTTGCGTCACTAGCTATCTTTACGGAGTTTGTGCGCAAATTTCCATAGTTGTTGTAGTGAAAGAATCGCGAGACGAAATCTTTCAATAATAGGTCCTGAGCTCAGTACGCACGCAGTTCATAGTGGAGAATCTTTTCCTTTTTCGCGTTTGAAAAGCACATGAATTTTCGACTCTATGGAATTATCGTAGAATTGGGGAGTAGCCAACTCGCGCTGTGTTCCGAATGTGTCAGGTATACCAAGGGTGAGAAATTTGAGTTAACATTTACATTTCCAAAATTATTGCCGAGTTGACCCTGCTCTCATGTACTCTCTCTACTGTGATGGAGGTTTGCACAAAACGTTTGCAATTCCACAAGTTTCTCCTGTTGAAAGACTTTTCAGATTCACTTACAGCAATCTTCCGAAAATGTGATATTTAGAGGGGTTGGTCATCATAGCCTATGCAAATAATCGCACGGACAGGCTGCCGTTGCAATCGTACTTGAGCATGCATTCTTCCATTGCTCTTGGACTGCGTTTAAAGCCTTCCGTGCCAGCGCCATGCCAGCGCCGTGTTATCGCATGTGAACGATCGATCAATATGAGACGCGCCCACGGTTCTGGCGCCGTGAGGGTACGGCGCTGGCATGGCGCCGGCATACGAGCTTTGCTTCTCTCAGAAGGAAATTCGGGCGCTATTGCTTTTAGCCTTTGTCGATAAGTAAAATATCAAATTTCATAGTTAATTGCAAATAAAACTCATACCACTTTCAGATCGGTGAACATTTCTAATGATGCAGTTGTGAGAAAACTGTGATGAAGTCACTGGTTTCAGAAAAGCCACTTCCATGGATAGATAGGCATAATAAGAGCTCTGGAGATAATTTTCCACATTGTATAGGGCCTATAGACCCGCTCTGATGCTTATTGATATGTATGTTTCACCATAACCTATTCTGCGGATCACTTCATGGCTGAAGTTCGCCATGATTATAACATTACCTCAAACACTACCTCATGTGTACAGTTATATCGTATACCGCGCTTCTTTTTCTGTATCGATCTCCTATTGTCAATTAGTGTCCTATTGCTAATATTCAATGTGTTGATATGTTTAAGGATTGAAACACAGCATGTAAGCTTAAGCACAACGTTTGTCGCATAATCTGACTATTGTTCATGCCAATTTTGGAGTGGTAGAGAAGGATAAGCTTGTTTGGAGTAAAATCTCAGAAAATATAACCTTGAAACGCAACAGGCACTGGACCATAGTCACTTTCTTCTGCGCAAATGGTCCATATTAGTTGCTGGGGCATGTTTCTTGAGGCATAAACTGTTTTTTTTGTAGAGAAGTTGCCACAACAGACTCGGCTACATATGTGGTATTGATGGAGAATTTTATTTGAAAGAGCGTCAAAACTGTTTCACTTATTATGCGAGCGTCTGAAATGTTCCACCTGCTATGCTGGGATTTAAATTTTTAATTTTGAGTTATAACACCTAGTGCTAGTTTCGAGATGTTAAACCGATCTTGCAGAAATGTACAAACTAAGTACATACAAAAGGCAAAGTGCCGTCTTTTTTACCAGTCTAATAAAAAGCCATAGCTGTTCCTATGAAAATCATACGCAAGCAAGATGTACCCCCCCCCCCCACCCCCGAGAATGTGTCGCGAAATTTTTGAAATTTGCTTACAAATGTGATGAAAATATGCGAGACTTGTTTATTCTTGTAAATAAGAATGAAGAGATCTACCATCTTGGTCACGCTCGAGGAGAAAGTCGATAACAAATTAAAACATTTTTTGAAAGTTCAAATTAGCCTTGTAAAAAATTTTTTTCGGGGGCGGCTCCCACCCCCTCCCCCTTTTTTCTTTATTTTAGGGGTTATAGGCCCTCAAAAATTTTAAGAAGCATCCCAAAAATATTTTCGGAGTGCGTGGATAGCCTCTGCCTCCCTCCCCCCCCCCCCCCCGGACAGAAATCCCTCGCCGCCACTGGTATATTGCCGCCACTGGTATATAATTATGTTTCCCACCCATTTCTTCCACTCAGAGTCAAAAGTGCACCAGCTTTTTTATCGTATTTGAAATAAAATTTCAATGTGTCTACCTTGGAAGAAAATTATATTGAAAATTGTAGCCTTTGCCGTTATGGCTGCTAACATCCATTTTGGATGAATGAACATAGCACTACACGAAAGAGAAGCAGGAGTATGTACGAAGGAAAATTCTGCTGATCATGAAAATTCTCAGGCTAGTGAGACGTAGGTGTTAGAAGAGAGGTGTTTGAAATCTCAAATATATTAAGAATTTAGTAAATATAAACGCCCATCTGTCAAATTGCTTTATTGCACTGCAACTGCCAGAGATTCAAGGCTCAGTCTCTCAATCTCGTGACATTCACACATGACCTTCTTTCACCTACGATCCATCACAAGAGCTCCTGCTAGTCACATGTCTTCAGAAATTTTGGAGGGGGCTCAAATACAAGGGTTGAATCAGACCATTATAAATACATGCTATTCTATTGAGTTGGTGGATAGTTTTATCTATGCATCTAGACTTTAGTGTCAAAGAAATCATGTTTAAGCTCTCGCATTGAAATAATCTGCGGAACATTTCCAATTTTTGTATATTTCTCGACTTTTCATTATAGAAATGCTGAAAACTTCGACTGCCGCCAACCGAGTGTCGAAATTAAGTTCTAAAAATTGTAGAAGAGAAACTCACAAAAAGTAGCAGAGCAAAACTTAAGGAAAAAAGGAATATTCGAGTACATTACAAAACCGTCGAAACTTACGTATTTGTGGCATCAATCGCTGGAGCTTATATCCTTGGGTATTTAACGAATTTGTTTCTATAAGCTTTCAGAATTTGCAGTATCCAAAAAGTAGTGTAACAGAAAATAACAGAATGCTGGTCTAATAGATTACTGAGTATATAAATTACATTCTACCGTTGTCCCTGTTGCTCAAGAATCATCCGCATCAGGGTTTGAGAGACCTCAGATAGTCACAAAAAATGCTGTGAGTAAACGATTTTTATTGCAGACTTATTGTTTAGATTGGTAGTGATATTACATTACTATTAGTGACATTGTGCCTAATCCAGGCAAATATATGAGTTTTGAGCAGTTTAAGAGCGATCTCTACGATATCGTCTTTGATCGTTTCCGACTTCGTGGCGTTCGCGGCTGGCTTTGGCGTTCGGAGCTGCTGGCTGACGACTGCATCGATAGACCGTTGAGCGTGCTGGAAAGGCTTTCGACGGAAGAGTGCCTGAACGCTGTCTGAATTCAGGACAGACAGCAGATCTACTAGAAACTGGTCTAAGAAGACGAACCTGTGCGTGGCGAGAGCAGTCAAGCCCAGTTTTTTCAGTCGCTTCCAATAAGCGGCTACATCAACATCGCTCCATCCCGCGTTTTCAAGCCGATCGAAGTACCTGGATGTTCTTTCTATGTTCAAAGTAAAACCTTAGCATAACACTGCAAGTCAGTGGATTTCGGGAAAATATGAAATTGAAGGACTTCTGGTCTCGTTCTCAATCAATCACCCCTTGGCCATTTTTTGGCGTAAGAGTTTCCGAGGTCCGCTGAGTTAACAAATTATCCTTACGCTACCAAGCTTTACCTCTTAAACAATACCAGTAAAAGTTGAAAAGAGTGAAAATATAGCATACAGATTGCTTGCCATAATGTTTCCGACACAGATAAGTATTGCACCTCAACGATCTTTTGAAAAAAATTCTGATTCACCAACACCGTAATTTTCCGAAATACGTATGTATGCGGCGAAACGTGGTCATTACTGAGTTACACAGTGATAAAAACAGTTTCACAATGTATATATCTGGTTTGATTATGGCATTCATGCGCTGTGCCTTTTCTTTTCATATGAAATCTGGACCTGAAGGAGTCTGGCCAAATGCACAAACCCCACTTTTCCCGTAACATCAATCGCATTTGAGAGTCATCCTTATCTGTTGGACTCTACTTTTAGACCATAAATCTTTTAACTGCTAAAAAACACGACGAAGCATTTTTTTATATCAGCGAAAGATTTGTTTATTCGAAGATTTTAGTAATTTCAAACTGCTCTAAAAATGATAACTTGATAATTGTTTAAATGATACCTCCTCATAATCCGATCTCTCACGCGTTCTTCGAGATCCGTCAAAGGAGTACATGAAGTGCACAGTGCGATATTATCTCGTACCTACAATTCAGCGTTACTCATAAAACTGCAATATATATGAATATGTGTAAAAAGCTCTTTCAAAGATGAGGGGGATTTTGAGATTTTGAGTGACAAGAATCGCACAACTGCTCATGCGAAAAAATGTGTATACAAGAACAGTATTAACATTAGAATTTTTATAATCTTTTTTAGCAAAGTTAAGTTGAAAATGTAGATATTATTACATTCATTTTAGAAAAACTGGCAGGCTCTGTTATGGCAAAAATACAGAATTTCATGAATATAATCGGATTTTTCACACATATCGAACTTGAATATTTAGCGATTTTTGATTTATCACAACTTTTATTGGATTCAAATCATAGCTAAAGGAAAATGACAGAAGGTGGAGTTAGAAATATTAGCAGCAGAAGGTTAATGGTACGAAAAAGGTGTTACGATAGGCCACAATTTTGCGATTTATTAGTCTTCGGCTCCTCATGCTCGGGTTTCAGTACAAAGACTTTTGATCAGGTATTTTTCGCTGTTGTCTCTAGTTCGACTTTACGAATACTAACCTGCTGTATGCTATCCATACCGACTATACAAGAGCTCATCCCTGGCACTTCGAAGGCATACGCCAAAGCTAGCTTTGAGATCGACATGTTTTTCGACTGAAAAGAGAGCTTCATTAGGTATAAAATCATCTGAAACATGGGATGAAGTTTTCCTTGAAATTTTGCGGAAGACGGAGGAAATTATTAATTTAGCATGAAACATTGCTTACCATACAGTAATGTGTGGCAGCTAAACAAGTTTCTTTGATGAAATCTGGAGCCGGATGCCATGGAGGTGGGCCTTGCTCCGTCAGGAGACCCATTGATAGAGGAGATCCATTAAGAACACCGATACCCTTATTCTAAATAACGAAGGTAATAATTATCCAATGATTATAAAAGTGACTGAAAAGCAATGAGGCTGACCTGAAGCATAAAAGTGAATTCGCCAACTGAGTTATCATTCATAGAACCATGACTATAAGTTTGCAAAACATCAATTCTAACCGAGGAGCATTCAATAAGTGAGCTGAAAACAGTATGATACTACAGCGGTAGTACTTCCCATAGATAAGAGCGGTTCAATTTACCGGTGAAAAATGAATTGGAAGAAATTGAAATTGAATGCAGTCACCCCTCTAATTTGATGGATGGATAAATAAAAATCGGAGAAGAAGTTTAGAGGAAGCTCCGCCCCTCAACTCTAAACCCCGCCCACTTAATAAACAATTCTTATAGAAATTCCGAAATTCCGTTAAAATCGCTATTTTTCTATATGAATTGTTTATTAAGTGGGCGGGGTTTAGAGTTGAGGGGCGGAGCTTCTTCTAAACTTCTTCTCCGATTTTTATTTATCCATCCATCAAGTTAGAGGGGTGATTGCATTCAAGTTCAATTTCTTCCAATTCATTTTTCACCGGCAAATTAAACCGCTCTTATCTATGGGATTTCAGGGTATTTAAGTATTAGACTGAATTTGAAGCAGTTCATATGTTGTAAGTCTATGTTTATATTTTACGCCTAATCTCGGCTAAAATAACAACGGCTGAAATTTTTTAGCACTTTTGAATCAGAACTTTTTTTTATTATGACTTGTGCAATTTTATCATGACTCCATAATTCTCCACAAAAATCTTGCAGTAGAAGTAGACACAATTCGTGGATTTTACTCAAAGTTGCATTAACGGTCAGTATGGTGTTACTACGGTATGGACAACATTTGCGCGAATGCATAGAGCGCGAATATTGTGCTTGAATACTAGCTATGATCACTTGAAGAACTTCCTCGCTGACTCACGCTAGCCTTTGTAGTCCGTACCCGGCAAGCCCGATATACCGTATCTTGCCAGAACTTCGAGCCATTTCAAGAGCTTGTAAAGTCTCGTACAAAATTATATTTCGTTGCGGTTCGAAATCAGCGTCGTGAATCTGTCAAAAACATCATCATTTACCAAAAAAGCATACTGTACTGCTTACTTGAATACAACAAACATCGACGTATGTCAGTCGAAGCCGCTTCAGACTATTCACCAGTGACTCCAAGACTTTGTCTGCTCGATAATCAAAATTTCTTGCAAAATCCAATTCGAAGCGTCCCACCGAAAAATAAAAGGTGGAATTTTGGAGAGATTGTTTTGGTACGTGTCTACCTTTGTACATATGTAGTAGGCTTTTCGTGGAACTTTCGTCAGGATCTAAATGACAACACATGGGAAACACTAGTAAATAATGGCGCAAGCTCGTCAATAGATGCTGATTGAGAGGCTTTAGGTAAGCCATTTATCAAATGGCAGCTTATATGGTCTATTCAACGTCAAGAAAATTAACTCAATACTCTAGCCTAGACCGCCACATACTGGTACTCAAATACGAAAGAAATACAGTCAGGGCAGGAGATTAGAGCTAAATTTCTCGGCCATGAATGGATCGCATAAGTTGTCGTTTGGACAATGGCTTAGTTAAGGTTTTTCACATAAGAAACGCATGCACCGATATGCGCATATATGCCATTAAATTTGCGCCCAGAGTTGCCTGTGTGCCAGCGCCGTGCTAGCATCCATGCAGACTATTGATTGATTGACGGCGCTGGCGCGACGCTGGCACAGGCAACTTCGGACTTGACGGCGTTTTGCACCAACCTTCCCAAGGATTGATTCGCTACGGTCTCGTCCGTACCAATATGCTGTATCGATAAGGTTGATACCGTTCCGCAAAGCGGTTTCAACTATTTGCGTTATGGAATCTTCGACATTTCCAAACATGCCACCGATAGGTGCAGAACCTAGGTAAGCAATGTTATTCAGCTAGGCGGATGAAAACAGAAAAAGGAAAACAAAGCGCTCAAAATAATTCATACTGACCAAAGCTAATCTTGGAGACAATCATATCGGTTTGTCCCAGCCTTCGATACTGCATCCGTCGAACAGCGGCTTCATCGTGAAATCGCGGGATGAAGGTTGGAGGAAGAGACGGCTGAAATACTACTAACGGGGTTATTAATACTTTAATTTGTCATCCTGAGCTACACAGTTGTTATACCACTCTAGTCTTTGTAATTCCGATGTTTCCTTGTACACTGAAAAAATATTTTTCAAAAAAATTCAAAAACTTGACTTTTCTCTAAAATACTCTTGGTAATTTTCCACTAACACCTGCTAGAAAGTGCTCAGAAAAAGAGCTTAACAATCGGATTACTTCGAATGAGACGAATTGATATAGAAGGCTTGAAACGGTATATTTACTTTGCTGTGTTATCGATAAACGAATACAAAAACGAATGAGGATTTCGAACGATACCTATTAGGTTGTAAGATAAGGTTGCACTTGAAGGGAAAACTTTGATAACTTTCTCCAAAGATTTTTCCTCATCTCTAAATTGAGTAGAGGGCTGTAGCTTTTTAGTATATACATGCCACGCGCTGAAAATCCAATTTTTTCTATTTTTTGGCGGATTTCCAACTTGCGTTATTGAGCAGCCTAGGCTTCCAAACTTCCCTCATATTAGTGCTAATGTCCTTAGGAATACAACAAAAATCTGAGAGCATAAAAATAAGAGTGAGAGAATTTTTAGAGGCAAAAGAAAAAATGGAGATTTAAGTGCCGTTACAAAATTTACCTTTATATTTACTGTAACCCATACCTGTAAAGGTGGAAATGATGCCAATAGATACTCCTTTGTTCACTGTTTATATGTACCAGATATTAGACTTTATCAAAGTTTCCAGAGTTTTTTAGAAGAAAATGAGAAAAGTGATCAAAAATTTATGTAACTACCTAATACTTATAATGATGTGCCAGTAACTTTTTTGTAAATAATTGCACTTTTCAGAAAAAAAATTTGATAATTCAAATTAGCGTCTTCTAAAATCTTGGGGTTGTACGGCCGCAAGTTGGAAAGCATCCGAAAAAATTTTCGAAGTGCGTGGCTATCGCGGCAATTTTAATTCGAAAAATTTGTCCCCCTCCCCCCCCCCCAACGCCCCCCCCCCCCCGCCAAGACAGAAATCCTGCCACCGCCACTGACTTTCAGGTACCTTAAATCAACAAAATTCTAAGCTCACGCCTGTCAAACGTTTTTGGATTATACTGCCTTCGACGATTATGTGTACAGGTATATAAAAATTAGAATAAAGGAAGAAAGCCTGCAAAAAGACAATGTTATAGCAGTCGTAGCGAAAATAAGATTTAAGAAAATAGAAAATGGATTACGTCCTAAAAAAGCAAGCGAAAACCAGAGAGGACGGAAATATTTGTTGAGAGAAAAACGCAGACTAATGTAGCGATTCATTTCAATCCTGCAAATGAAAAAAGGAGGAAATTAAAAAAGGCACCAAGTTTCGCAAAGGGTCTTCTTTTTTCTTTCTGAGAAAATTTAAAAAGCGGACGAAACCATTTTATTGTTGATTTCTTGTTCAACTTCTCTCATTCGAAAAATTTTGCAACTTCTTTTGAAGCGGGATGCTAGAGTTTCGCTACTTTCAAGTCTAGACAACTCTTGCGCACCAAATGAGTGAATATGAATATCTTGAAGCTCAAAGATATCTCATTTGAAAATAGCGAAAAAGACACGATGTAATCTAGATGCCACACTAGTATTTGGGGAAAATGCTTACATGTCAAATCAGTACAATCGAGTAGATTTTCCGCTTAATATAATGTGCTTGCACTGAAGATAAAATGTAGTAAAATTTGCGCCTGAACAAGTAGCCACGCCATTAATGTCAGCCTGTTGCGCGCGCAATTGGCCGGCGTCACAGGCGCAATTATTTGTTCACGCGCAAATTATCCGTATTTCAACTACAGTGCAAGCACACTATATTAAGCGGAAAATCTACTCAACTGTAACAAAATATGATTAGCGTTAGCTTTGCGCCCCTATTTAACTTTTTAATGAAGAAATATTGACAAAGGTTAGAGCCATTTTATAGCTTCTTGCAAGTCACTCACATCTATCGTCTCTCCTCGCAGTCTGCTCGATGCAAGAGATGTCGAACGTGATATGCCACGAGAAGTTGACGGCTGTAATAATATATTAATAGGGTCAATCATAAACGTACATACTATGTGTTATTTCTATGGGGCAAGACAATGTTGAAATTTTCAAATATCCTCCACATGGGAGTTCCCAAAATAACAAAAAATGGAAAGTGTTGGTCATGAAATTTTTTTCGTTATTTATTCATCCACTTTGAGGCATTAGGCTTTGGGCAGACTTTAGGCATCTTTGATTTCCGGCCTGTATTTGAATTTAGTTCAAGCTCCACAATTTACCTGCTGTGAGACTGTTTGTCCTCTATTTTGTGTCTTTTGCGCTCAAATATTGATGGATTTGTGAGACTCTAAGCTTTGCTAGACTTTCAAGGACTTTTTAAACTGCGTTATTTTAGTTTTTGGCAGAAAGCCAAGCACGCAAAAGCGGAAGTGAGTTCATCGTGAATGCATTACCTGTTGTTCATGGAGTCCGTAATGTGAGAACGATCCGTTCACGCATATTGGCACGCCCCGCGCGCGCGAGAACGTATGCGACTGCATTCTAGGCCATTTTGAACGGGATTCTGAAAATACTGAAAATCAAAATTTGAAAAAATTAGATGCCCTTTGATTAAATTGGATTGGTGGCTAGGAGGCGGGGCTTCGTGGCCTAGTTAAGGCTAGAAAATGATTAAAGCGCACGAGAGCGAGAGAGACGCAGACTGCGTAGCGGGCGCGGGCGGCCATAAATAGGCCAGTCCCGCCTTCCAGCAACCAATCCAGTTGAAACAAAGGTGAGTTGTGGATGATAGGTCAGCGACAGGAAGTCGCTCTGTGTAATTGCACCACTATTTCTGTCTTCAGGAGGTGATATTAGGTTGTGAAGCCTTCCTCATTTCATGCAATTTTTTGTAATGTTTTGCCGTTCTTTCATCACTAACAATACTACCAGCGTGATATATTGCATTGTAAGAATTAATAAACTCAAAATTGGCAGATTGTAATCGAGTAAAATAACTCATACTTAGCATGAAAATGCCATCACTCAAGATACTGAAAAAAGATGGAACTTCTAAAATTTTAGTGCAAGGGTGATAAGAGATGCATGTAGACTACAATCGCATGTCGATATCGAAGGAAAAGTCAAAAGAATTATTTGTCACGCGAGGTTGAAAATCAAATACGGAAAAGAATGGGCTGTTCTCTGATCACTGTGAAAATTCAAGTGCTGTACTTTGCTGTACATTACGTCACATTCTTTTTTGCTTTGCAATTTGGTTTTGATTTACAAAATCTGCAATATCTTCTTCTTCATATTTTCCTACACATAGTTATGTTTTGTCAAAAATTCAACCATTTCACAGATTTATATATTAAGGTGTCTCATAATTTTTCGTTTTTATAAAAACCGTTGTCTTTTTGGATCTTTCCATCAATTAATGTGGCTAAGTAATCATTCGACAGAGCAAAGCAAGTTCTACAAGTTAGCTATCAATAGTCTGCCCAATTCTTTCCAGGGGCGGTATGCATCAATCTCCCGTTTTGAAAGCGGGCGATCATTTCAGTAAAAAATGATCGTTCGGCCGGGTATATCATCGGATTCGTCTCAAAAGCTGATTTCAAACATATGTTTTTTATCTGCCAAGCACTTATTAGGAAGAGTTATGAGCGTTCAAATGTGAGAAATTTTTCGAGTTTCGACAAATATATTTCTTTGGAAAAAGGCCTGATGGCGCGGATTTACAGTGACTATGGCTATTTAAATTACAAACAAGAAGCAAATTCACCAAAAATCTAACTAAGTGTTTTTGAAACTTATTTCGTGAAACATGCGCCACAGAACAATTGACAAGTCGCACATTGAAACGCTCATAGCTCCTACCACATAGTCGTTTAGATGATAATCATATATTTGTGATTAGCGTTTTGAGGAGCCCGATGATCTACACTATGCGTATGGATGGATTGAATTCTGACCATTCCATGCTTAGCAAGAGTTCATTTCGGCATGATTGGCAAATTTTTTCGTGCAAGTGTTGTCGAAAACGCAAGGGCACGGTATCATCTGCCAGTCTAAAATCACATTAGGGAAATCACATTAACGAAATGCATATGCAGTCGGTGACACCTATCTCGACAGAGCTATCAAAAATCTTCGTTCAAGTACGTTACAAAACGCCATAAACATCTTATATTGACGCATGAATGCATACCAACTGCGGAATTACCGGATGCTTCCCACCATCCTTAAAAGCAGCGTCCGGGCAAAAAGTCGATTTTGAGATTTTGTGCTTACCCGGGCCTATTCGCTATGCTGAATCCGAAAATCACCACTAGAGAGCGCGAAAACGGCGAAAAAGGGGTCTAACGCAGGAGGAAAATCAGCAGGGGGCGGAGCGTCCGCCAGGGTGGATTCTCGCTCCAGCTTCCGGAGCAATCTTCTCGGTTCCTTTAGTCGCCCTAACATCGCTACCGGCCAATTGCAAACGCGTGATTTGAGATCGGAACCGAGAAGATTGCTCCGGAAGCTGGGAGCGAGAATCCACCCTGGCGGACGCTCCGCCCCCTGCTTTCCTCCTGCCTTAGACCCCTTTTTCGCAGTTTTCGCGCTCTCTAGTGGTGATTTTCGGATTCAGCATAGCGAATAGGCCCGGGTAAACACAAAATTCAAAATCGACTTTTTGCCCGGACGCTGCCTTTAATGGATCTTGTAGTATCAATTACACCAAACATTTTTGTGACTTCAATCTATAGCTCTTGTAACCGTGTATAATTTGACGCGAATTTGAGAAACACTAATAGAGTGCATGGCAACTTCTGATCTGAATGCCGTCAAATTAGCATACCGAATTCAAATTTTTCGGGGTGGAACTTTTATTGTCAACAAACATGCACAGACGCACTTCTACTGTATGATAGGCTCCTAGCTTCGTGTGGAGACGGGTTGCGGACTTCCCTGATTTTAAGGATAAGCTCAACAATTAGAGAGTACGAGATACAATGCTATAACGTGGAGGTATAACAAGTTTATCCTGAAAATCAAGGAAGTCCGCAACCCGCCTCCACACGAATCTGGGAACCGATGATATGCAATCGCACATTTTCCAGAACGTTGGCTATAAGACGCAGGCTTTTCAGTTGTAAAACGCATGACATGTAATCACTCCTATTTCTTGAAATTTTGATTTTTTAATGATTTTTAAAACGAAAAAGCACATAGAGAAACAAATGAGCGCATCTTTGCAGATGTGCATTTGCAAGGGAACCTACTCGAATGGAAATCACTTAAAATCAGGAGGACTACAAACATCGAAAGTGAGCAACAGATAAAGCTTTAACATCAGACCATAAACGTAAATTTCGAGAATCGATAATAGGATGTTGAAGACGAGCATGTGTGGGAGTAGCTAGTGAACACATCGAAAATGCATAGCAATAGCTGCCGCAACCACTGGACATGTGGACGGACAAATCCACGGATGTCAGCGCCTATATAGCCTTTTGAACTCAAAATTGTGCAGTTTTAATTTAAGCCCATCAGCTAAGCATGCAAACACAGAAATCGAATCTGATCCCTAGCGATGGGGTGAAGAAAAGTTGCTAGTTTTTCTGAGCTGCAATGATACATGAGGTTGATGCAGCGAAGCAAGCTCTACAAAGCTCTACTACCAAGAGTCTATCCAAATACTTGGTCTCGTAAAGTTTGGTTCTAGAATCTGTGGACATTTAACCAGCTCGAAAATCGGATACCTGGGAAATCCTGCAAATCTCCCAATTGGTCATGACGTAGTAGACACATAATAACGATCACTCCTTCAGCCTGGACATCACATTGAAGGAATTGCAAGGAACCTTTACAAATACAGTACACTCCCAGAAATTCAATGGAGATGCCATAGGGAGCCAAGAACAACGCCGCGATAAACGTGGTGCTGGATTTGTGCAGCATGGTCGCAAGGAAGGTAGTTCTAAGAAGAGAAAGCAAGTAAATCCTGGGTCCCAAATTAGTATCGTGCTTTTCGATCCGCTGTTAAAGGCATGTCCGGGCAAAAAGTCGATTTTGAATTTTTGTGCTTACCCTCGCTATGCTGGATCCGAAAACCCACCCTGCAAAGCACGAAAACGGCGAAAAAGGGCTTTAACGCATGCAGCGGTTGGGTGAGGTCTTCCCCTCTGTGAGTTTACGTTCTCAGCTTCCCGGAAAGATCTTCTCGGTTCCAGTTTCGAGTCACCGTTTCGCACTTCCTCTAACGTATGATTTATGGGCAAGGCCTACTGGCATTCTTTGAGGTGATCTGACATTCATTAATGCAAGTCACCGCAAAAGCGTAGAAATGAGGGCGGAAGGGGGGGGGGCGTAAAAGGGGCCTAGGATCGCATCAACACGCTTGACCCTGCTCTGGGGTCAAAATGAACTAGGCATCTGCCGTTGTGTACCACAGCGCGAAATCACCCGGGTTAGCGCAGTGACACACGGCGCAGAGAGGTGTCTAGACCGATGACGTTATACATTGCATTGTTCAGTCATTTCTTCTTTGAGAGATGTACGAAAGTTAAATGAGACCTGGTAGTGACTGTGTAAAAAAATGTCTTTATTCAACAAGCAAGTAAAACTCGCCAGAGTTAACAATGGATTTTAACAGAAGAAAACTACAAACTCACACAAACAGACCTCCAACAACTAACAACTAATAGAATAAAAACCATAACAATCATATACAGTACATGAACACTGACTCTCAACAACCAAAACACTGCCTTAAAAACCCTCTTCAGTCGCAAACAGCTTAAAACAGCCAAATTGTAACTAATCACATTAAGAAAAAGTTGGTTGTACAGACGGAGTTGTCGATGATTGACAACAGCAAGAGAAAGGTTATACTGAGTTGATACTCAGCAGCAGCGGCTTCTAAAAAAACTTATTCGAGCGCCACTGATACTAGTGATTACAAAGAGATGTGCCATAATAATGAAAAGGGCAGCATTCAAACCGCAGGAGTGGACTATCCTGACAATGGACTAGATGAAAGATCCAGGATGAACAAACCTATAAAAATTATAAGTAAAGTAGCAAAGTTTCATTATATGAATCGCATGTTCAATGGAGCTTCGAAGTGGCGAAGACCAGGGCTGGTAGAGTAGATTGTAAACATTGAAAGCTGATTGTTGCATTGTGCTGTGACAGGAGTTTGCGCAGGGACAGAACCTGCAAGTCAACTTTGAAGAACGTGCTATGAGTGCAATTAACAGCTCGGCAGTAAATGAAAGGACCAGTGGTCAGTATGTTGACCTACTGGGATTTTACCATAGATCTAGCAGCTTCGCCATGAACACCGTGAACATTAAAAAAAACACTCACTCATAATCTCATCCTCGTCGTCAAGGAAGTCCATCGTTTCCTCCTGAGGCTTGATTACAGAACTCCGTAAGGCGGAAATGACCTCGCTCTTATCTTCAGCCAAAGGAGAGAACTTCCGCAACAATGGTAGAACCACGATCATCGAACTGAGATGATATGTATAGGGGTTTCAGGAAAACGTAAGAATGATCACCTCTTGAGCTTGTAAGTATCGAAGGGAAACATCGGCTCGAATGGAAGGGTGACACCCGAATCCATAGGTAATACATTGTTACAATAGACGAGTTGGAGAGATCTAATAAGATAAATGTCTATTCCCGAGAATAAACGACCAGTATATTCAACAACATAGATGAAATACCAAAGATAGCTGACCTGCTAATCGCTGCAAAACACTGGCCAACAGGACCGCTCACATACTTCAGGGGATCCAAACAAGAATGCACGATACGAGCCAAACCCCAATGTGCAACATTGGCCATTTCTGCAGGCAGAAGATGGACTATTCCAAACCTACCGTAAAAGCAATATCGACAAAAAACTAACCTCCAATGCGAACAACTTCTTTGTAGCGGAAAGAGAAAATTATGAAAAACGCCTGACATAGCGCGTAGAATGTTCCATGTCGGACAACTCCGGGTATTACCTGAGTGTAATTCATTAGAGTAAAAATTACAGAAATATCGCATAACTAACTCTTTTCGAACCAACTCCGCAATTATCCAGATACTGCAAACACCACTGTACAATACGTGACATCCAAAAAATTGCGATTCTGGTAAAGAGAGAATTACCAAAGTTTCAAACTACCGTACACCTACTTTATATCTAAGTATTCCGCTCTAGCAAGAAATGCGGCCAGATAAGCTGCAGCTCCTTGCGCTTTTGCTATATCAACCTGGGCAACATGGGGTCGCACAAGTACAGACCAAAGGAGGTCCAAAATTCGAGTAGCATATGCCTGAACAGGTGAGGATAAACCTGCCGCAGAATTGAGGTTCCCGTGAATTTAATGTATGTGTAACGAACCTCTTTGATACTGCAAAGGTATAGCCAGAGGAAGGAAGTGTACCGCACATGTACCGACAGAAGCATGCGATCTTCCAGCAGTGACGAAAGGATATTGAATAACTCTCGTTCGCTCGAGCCATCCTTGGCATGCAGCCATTTCAGATCTCAAGTGACAACTTTTGTATTGCTGGAGAGAGTGGACACAAGAAAGGGAGCTTGCTCATACAAACATACCATCGAGTTCGGTTTCCACACCATGTTTAGATGCAATGTAACAAAGCACATCTCGCATAGCTCCGTCCAATTTCGCCAAACGTTCATTCTCTTCATTCTCATTCTCTGAGCCGTTACGTTGCTCTTCGTCCTAGAGTAATAAAATGAATGAACCTTCTTTCTGGCGTACAAAAAGTTACCATCTGGAAAATCGTAGCATCAGCAATGAATTTCTTCTCTGCACGGCACTCCGCCTTTGATAACATGTTCTGTAATATTCAAATCCAAAACAAATAAGATATAAACTTCTGAGCTTCAGCATGAAAAGATAGGTTTGGTATACGAAATGGATATGGAATCGTGATCATGCCAAAGTCTGTGTTGCCTCATTCCCATTCAAACAGCCAAAGAATCTTACAAGTTAAAGGCAGTGTCCGGGCAAAATCTCGATCTTGAGATTTTGTGCTTACCCCGACTTATTCGCTATGCTGAATTCAAAAATGGAAATTGGAGAGCGCGAAAACGGCGCAAAACGGCTCTAACACAAGAGGGAAATCAGCGAGTGGGCGGGGCCCTCCGCACTGTGAATTCACGCTCCCAGCTTCCGGAGCGATCTTCTTGCTTCCGATTTCAGGTGAATCGCTCACACTTGGCCGGTGGCGATGTCAGGACGGATAGCGGAATCGAGAATACCGCTCCGGAAGCTGGAAGCGTGGATTCACAGTGGGGAGGGACCCGCCCAGTTGATGTTCCCCTCCTCCGTTATAGCCTTTTTTCGCCGTTTTCGCTCTTTCCAAAGTGGATTTTCGGATTCAGCATGACGAATAGGCCCGGACAAGCACAAATTCTCAAAATCGAGTTTTTGCTCGGACACTGCCTTTAAAGTGAAATTATAAGAAATAAGGGTTGTAAAGAAGCCTCACATCACAGACAATCATCTGATCGATAATGATCTCCCAAATATCGGCACGAAGCTTTTCAGCATATTCAAGACACTGCATGAGGTTTCTAATATAGCCAATGAATCGATGACTATCGTGACTTATGTGCGGTGCGCCATTACGAAGAAGTCGCAAAAGGACTTTGCTAGACCTGAACGTAGTAACTCACTCTCCACATCAATATGTAGAGAAGAAAAATGAATGTAAGAACCAACATGGGTAAACAGTTGAGGATTTGTTCAATTATCCTATGTGCAGCAACGTACAATTTTTCCTGCTCTTCCACTGGTAAAGCAAGCTCAAACTTGCCGCTTTCTTCTGAAACGGGAAATCAATTACTTCTAATACCCAGAATACTGCGCACATCGCGCAGAACTTACCATTTTCTCTCACTAAAGGAATCAGATTATTTACAGCAGAACTGTATATAACTTCCATATGGCATACCTGCAAACTGGAATCTCAAAAATGCTACCATGGCACATTACAATTGTGTAATAAATTATATAAATATAAACAAGAACATAAATATGAAACTAGTCTTCAGGCAAAAACGAACCTGTCGTACGGCGATATCACATAGCAATCTTTGAAATTTATCCAAAATTTGTGCAGGAACTGCTTGCCAATTTAGACGCTAAAATGATAATATAAACTCAAATAAGTTCGTCCGTGAAACTTAGCTAAATCAGCTTCTAAGAACCGCATGTGTTGGAACTGTCCACAAAATTTTGACTTTTGCAAGTGAAGACTAAGCATAGAAAGCATTGCCGTAAGTAAAAGCAGCATTGTAGATTGAGATTTGGTATAGCTGCTAATCCACACGTCTTTGTTCATAAGAGAGGTAACTCTTTATAAGCACGTCAATATAAGGGGCCCGTCATACTTCGCCAGCAGCCCAAAAGCGCCCAAAGCCCGAAAAAGCCCGAAAGCGCCAGAAAGAGCCGGAACGCAGGAACGAACTTTTGATAGAATTCTAACATTATTTTGATATACAGACGGCAGAAAATGAACCGAAAAGACTCGGTTGCGAAACCAACACACATGCCTTAGCGCCAAAACGTGCGCGCAGAAGGAGGCGTCCGGGCTCTTTCTAGCGCTTTTAGGCTTTTTGGGCCTTTTCGGGCTTTTTTGGGCTTTTCTCGACGAAGTATAACGGGTCAGAGACATGACCAGGGTCAAGCAAGGGGTTGGCACACGATCGCTGGTTACGACCTCCCCCCCCCCCCCCCCTGATTGCTGTCTTAATAAGACCCCCCCCCCCTGAACCATATACCTAATATAGCATTACCAGAGTTGAGAAAGAGGTCAGGCACAAGTCTTTCGAAACCCCCCCCCCTCCCATGGAAGCCCTCAAACGACACCTTCTTCCTCCTCTTAACGGACCTCAAGTGTGACATTCTGGAAAACACCACCTTTTTCTAGAGAGTTTTCAGATTTCTGAGAGCTGTACGCCCGATTTTCTGTGATTGCACTTTACAATCACACGTAATTTGACGGCTGATTTTGATCTGAATGGGCATATTGAAAGGGCCATAACTTTCTTATGGGTGGGGCGTTCGGCTCTAAATTTCCAATGTAGCAAGAAGAAGCTATGTGCTCAATACTCATACCAGCAATGGAGCGCTTTCTGGATTTTGAAGGCAAGTTAAGGGGGTGTGCCGCACTCCATTAACTATATCAAAAAAACATTTTTAGCGGACAGTATTTATATGAATCGATAGCCTAAACCTTGTAGATTCCATAGGACTGTTTGGAGCCTGATTTGTCTTCTTAGCTCTAAGTAATATTCGGTGAAAGCACAGCGATCAAAAGCGAAAAATGGGAAAAACGAGATTTTGGTTGGCTTCTAATTCCACAGTTTGCAGGTCTTCTGAAGCATGTTGGAGGGATTCTGAAGGGATTCCTGAGGTGGACAAAGAAGGAGTGGTGCTTTGTCTTGAGTGCAAAAACGGATAGCTAATTCACCTTTGAAAAAAGTTAACCATGTTGGGATTTGACCATTTCATTTAGGTAGCCTAGTATCCTGAATCTTCAGAATTCGCTCACACTTTGTCTACAGGGCTTAATTGACATGCTAATTATGGATATGATACGAATATCATGTTATCACTATTATCAGATTGCCCAACTACGACCCCCTCCCCTTTTGACTCCTCAATACGACCCCCCAGGTTGGCGTGCCGCACCCCACGCTTGACCTGGACATGACTCTTTATAAGCACGTCAATATGAAGATTAATGCTACCAACAGCACTACTCAAGTCATAACTGCATGCCTGAATACTCAGGTATAACTTAAGATGGTGCCTGAGCTTGCAAAAAAGTTCCGTACTCAATCGAACAATGAAAAAGAAATGCAAAATTTTGGAAACTCAGCTCAAAAGATCAAAAGCATCTCATCAAAAACAACAAAAACGAACTTACAGCCAGATTCGATACAAGAGCAGCACAGCGATTATCCAAAAGATCACTGATGTTCAGAAACTGTTCCAGGAATTGAACTTTTGCTTCCGGCTCCCAATTAGGCAGCACTTCTAATGCGTTACATATCTTACGATAGGTTATCGACGCAATCGCATCACCCTTAAAAAATTTCAAATTGGGATGAACACAATATTTCACGCGCCTTACCTGCAGATATAATGAGATAATCTCTCTACCAGTAGTAGCTTGTTTTGGCTTAGCATCTATGCTCTTGCCGACTGTCGTTTCTTTTCGTAATGCCTCGTCCTTTACGATATCAATTTTCGATGCCATCTCGTCCTTTTGCTTTGCGGTTTTTAGAGATGTTTGATCTAAAACTCTGAACTGTAAAACACTAGTATTGTATGTAGAACTGACTCACAGTGGTTTAGCGTCAGTCTTTATTGAGAGACGCAAGCTCGTTATCACTACGCTGTTCTCATGCTACCCAAATCTGAAACAAACCTCGTCAGTTGTCGCACCAAGCAGAAAGGGTGATTTGTGAGCGATAACAGTTGATGATCCAGGAAAAGGAATATACATGAACTACCAAAGTCAATATAAAAGAACATTGATGGTGAAAGAGATGAAACTATTACACATGTCGCACTCATGAGCAATGAAAAGACAGGTTGACGGTACGGATATTTTTCTGCTATTGCGTATTATTGCACAACTCTTGAAATTCGTCACGGGAAGAGAAATTGAACGCACCGATTTGAGCTAAGCTTTATGCGAATAAGTAAATAGGATCCACACTTCCAAGAAAATAGTGTCAGTCTTCACTTTATGAGAAAAGAGCTTTTTCTTTTAAGGTAGGCGCCAGACTAAGCGACTGTTTTGTTCAGCTGCAAAAGCAGCGGAAAATTATTATTATTATTTATTATTTATTGCGTAGGAATTTCCTATGCATATTACATTCAACAGAACACAAAATCTAATAAACAACACAAATCAACACAACAAACTCGAAAGGCCTAACAATCATATAAGGAACTATGGCGAAAGAAGATAGTTCTCAAGAATCATTTTAAACTGAGACAATTTTAGAGGAAGCATACCCTTTCTCATCATTTTATCTAGATCGCCGCTGACTCTGTTTGTAAAGAATTTTCTTCTCACATTCCTCCCTGCTCTTGGTATTACCATTTTTTGAGGTCCCCCTCTAGTAATAGAACTTCTAGTCTCAAAGAAGTTGGCGGGATTAAGTTGGCAATCTCCGAATAATATTTTGTGAGCCATAATAAGATCAAGCTTTCTTCTTCTATTGCACAGGCTGACCAACCTCAAGATTTTATTTCGATCCTTTCCGTTGGGTAGAAGTTCGTATTTGAGGCCTTTGGTTCTAATCAATAATTTCCTTGTAAAGCAGTTTTGCACTCTTTCTAGTGCTTGTACAGTTCTCTGCTTCGTTGGACTGAAGATTACCGTTCCATACTCCAATAGAGGTCTTATATAAACCTTATATGCCCTCATGAGAATGTCAACATTAGTTGTAGAAAGGGCTCTAAACAAATTATATACTGCCGAAATTCCTTTAGCTGCAAGGGTTTCGCAATGTTTATCGAAATCCAGCCGACTATTCACTAAAAACCCTAAATCTCTTATCTCATCAACATAATCAATAACTTCACCCTTTATGCGGTAATTGTAATCCATAACCGGAGGTCCTAGGTGAAGAACTTTGGTTTTTTCTTGTGAAATGGGCAATTTCCAGATATCAGACCATTCTACTATTCGGTTCAAAGCATCTTGCATCTTTTCCTTATCTACCATTCCTGCTACTGGATTGTATATCTTGAAATCGTCGGCAAATCCACAGCATGTCACTCCTACCTCAGAAACTAAGTGAGGAATCTCATATGTGTAGATATTAAAGAGAATTGGAGACAACACTCCGCCTTGTGGGACTCCACTAGGCATTGCCCTCAGGCTAGAAAAAGCTTCACCAATGTGAACACTGAACGTACGATTATCTAGAAAGGAAGCAATCCACGAAACAATAGAGGGATGAATTCCAACCAGCTTTAGCTTCAATATAAGTCTCGAATGCGACACCTTGTCAAATGCCTTCGTAAAATCCAGATAGACAACATCAATCCCCTTATTATGCTCTAACCAACGAGTCCAATCATTTAGTGAGTACAACATGGAAGTTACAGTTGATTTTCCCTTCTGAAACCCGTGCTGTGCTTGCGAAATTATGCTTTGGTCTTCCAAATGTTTTAGTATTGCCTTTTTGATAATTTTCTCAAATAATCGAGCAAATATTGATGTGATACTCACTGGCCGATAATTTGAGACACTACCGCGCTGTTTCTTTTTGGGAATAGGTGTCACAAACGAGACTTTCCATCTATGTGGAACTTCTGACCGCATCAAGCTAAGATTGAATATGAACTGCAGCGGTCTCGAAATGACGTGTGCGACCTCTTTGATGAAATGCAATGGTAAGAAATCAGGAGTCAGAGATTTGGAATCTGGCCATTTGCTGAGTAGCTCATAGATCTCAACGTCATTGAAATAAGTGTAGTCCCTCATAGCCTGGAACCTAGGCTGAGTGGTATCAGAAAGTATGTCTTCACAACTATCCCTCTCAAAAGCATTTCAAACATGTCAGCAAAGCCCTCAACTTTATCTAAGTCGGAAATCAAAACTTCACCCGTTTTCGAGCGAATGACTCCTATCGGATTTTTGGCCTTAAGCCTTCGGTTTAGGAGTTCATAGAAAGCTGACTTATTTCCTGATTTGATTATCTTCCTTTCTAGATAATTTTCTAGCCTCAGACTGATTGCTTTGAACTGTGCCAGATCTCTTTCACTACCGGTATTCGTAGCTTTAAACCAAGCTTTCGTCTTCAGATGGGAAAGTCTCTCTATGTTTTGGGGCACGGTATACTTGCCCACAGCTACCATTTTCATGGGCACAAAAAGATCAATGGTATGGTGAAGTATGAATATGAGTAATTCATACATTTCGTTGACTGTATTAGCCGCATTCAAGGAACCACACCAATCAATCGTTTCTAAGTACTTCACAGCACCAACCATGTCGGCCTTTTTGTAGTCTCTTCTCAAAATATAATTATTTTGGACCTCACCGGTACTATTCATTCGAAAACTAATGAGTGCATGATCGCTTAAACCAACTGGTGGTTCAACTGTAACATTAGTCACCAGACCTTTGTCATTGGTAAAAACCAAATCAAGGATACTCTTACCCAAAGTATACGATTTGACTTTCTGTATAAGCTGGTGACCAATGCACATATTCAGAAAATTTCTCGCCGCAACATTGCCCTTCGGTACAGCAAAAGTGTCCCAATCGATAGCGGGCAAGTTGAAGCCCCTAGTACTACGGATGGATATTCACAAGATACAAGATCGGAAATTGCTTTAGTCATCTGTTCCAGCGCTCTATTGGAGCAAGAAGGCGTTCTGTAAATCAGAACCAATCGAACCTTCTTATTCTTGGTCAAGATGTCAACGCATAAGACCTCATAGCCATCTTTAACCGATTCACTGAAGATTAGATGGGGACCAAAGACCTGGTTATCAAAAAAGCAACACCTCCCCCTCTTTTACATGTCCGGTCACGCCTGTACACTTCATAATTAGAACAAAGATCGCCAAAAAGTGATGCATTGCTGATATCATAGTCTTCCACCAACCAAGTTTCTGTAAGTCCTATTACACATGGAGAGTTACCATAGAGGAGGAATTTGAGACTATTTATGTTTTTCTGCAGCGATCTGATGTTTGTTGCAAAGCATAAGAGAGAACTATCAACTTTCCAAGGAGATTCTATGCGTTTAAAGAATCCGCCACTTGCGTACAAGGAATATCATTGATCGATACATCCATACAACTACGTTCTTGATCAGAAACATTGACATTGGCAGGATCAATATCAGCAACACGACGTTTTGGGCCCCTCACAAGTTTAAAATTTTCCCTTTCCTCCCTCGACATAGATGGTCTAATATAAATACCCCTCTTATGCGGGAAATTCTTCATCCAAGAAGCCCGTTTAAGTATAAGTTTAGCACAAAAAGAAGACGGTAATACTACCTTCAACAATCGATTATATGATTGACTAGCTGGCTTACCCGGCTCCGCCGTATCCGGACCAAACTTAGCACACATACACTTCGGGCTCCGGCGGGTGTCACAGTCCACTTTTCGTTATCGATCGATGTCGATTTTACCGATTTTTATCGATTTTTTCGCAGAGTTCACCTACAGGGCTAGGAGTTGGCACAGGGGGGAAGTGAGCATGGGGATCTCGAATACAATATTAGTTTTCAGAATTATCGGTTACTTTTGTTGATTTTCTCGATTTTTTGTAAATTTTGACATGCGAGGCTGGGATTTTGCACAGGGGGGTAATCGAGCATGCTGATTACGAACACAATATTAGTTTTCAGGATCGTCCATTACTTTTATCGATTTTATCGATTTTTTTTGTAAAGTTTGACCTGCGGGGCTGGGAGTTTGCACAGGGGGTAATCGAGCATGCAGATTACGAATACAATATTAGTTTTCAAGATCGTCCATTACTTTTATCGATTTTATCGATTTTTTGAAAATTTGAGCTAGGGGGCTGGAATTTGGCACAGGGGTGTAATCGAGCATGCTGATCACCCCCCTTGGGGATGATCAGCATGCTCGATTACCCCCCTGTGCCAAATTCCAGCCCCCTAGCTCAAACTTTGCAAAAAATCGATAAAATCGATAAAAGTAATCGATAATCCCGAAAACCAATATTGTATTCGGAATCCCCATGCTCGATTACCCCCCTGTGCGAACTCCCAGCCCCGTAGCTCAAACTTTGCAAAAAATCGATAAAATCAATAAAAGCAATCGATAATCCTGAAAACCAATATTGTATTCGGAATCCCCATGCTCGATTACCCCCCTGTGCCAACTCCCAGCCCCGTAGCTCAAACTTTGCAAAAAAATCGATAAAATCAATAAAAGTAATCGATAATCCTGAAAATCAATATTGTATTCGGAATCCCCATGCTCGATTACCCCCCTGTGCCAACTCCCAGCCCCGTAGGTGAACTCAGCAAAAAAATCGATAAAAATCGATAAAATCGATATCGATCGATGACGAAAAGTAGCCTATGACACCCGCCGGGGCCCGTAGTGTATGTGTGCCAAGTTTGGTCCGGATCGGTTCAGAAATGGAATTTTCTATTCGGAACATACGTACACACATACATACAGACATACATACATACAAACAGACATTCAGCTTTATATATAAGATTAGGCTTGCCCATGCGGTATGACATGACAGGAAAACAGTCAATATCCAAAAAATCAAGGATTTGACCTACACAGTTGTTGTCATGCCTGACTCGGCAATTACTGGATTTTTCATGGCTTTCCGGAACTCCAATAAAAACCAAAGACCTTCTCTTTTCGATGTCCTCCATTTGGCCGTCCTTTGTAACCGTGTCCTTGGATCGCTCAGGAGCAGATCTAGTAACAGATTCTTTTAAGCGATTATTTTCTGCTCTAAGAGAAATGACTTCTTCCGATAGCTTCTTGACACTCTCCATTAACTCACGGTTGTTCTTCATCATTTCCTCCATTTGCTTCCTGCTATCGATGAGGTACGCCAGGATTGTCCTGGCATAAAGTGGAATTTGTTGATCTTGAATCAGCGCATTCGTGGCAGTATAGAAGTTTGTCGACGTCTCCGGCGACTCATCGAAGTTCAGCCTCCTTTTTCTTTGACGCTCTGCCGGTGACAACGGATAGACCGGCGTTTCCTTGATTTCCTTGACCATCGGTAATTAAGGTTGATTTTGCGCGGTCCTGCAGCTGAAGCAAGCAGTCGTGCGTTGATCTGTTAATTCTGCGCGCCTTGCAGCTGAACAAAACAGTCGCTTAGTCTGGCGCCAGACCTAAGCGTGCAATTTAAAGTTGTGAGACGTCTCATCACTAAATGTGCAATTACATAACTTCTCAGCGTCAGCTTCCGCAGCATTAGCCAGTATGCCAGAGCTCGCCAATCTTTGCAGCAGATTGAAATTGCGCGAATGGGAGATATTTAACGCAGATACGCTAATTCTACCGCTCAATGGTCAGAATCTAACTCAGCCATTCCAAACAAGCTGTATACAATCTCCACATTATTGACCCAAAAAACGAAAGTCGTGAATTTCCTAAAACTTCGTCTAGGGGGGTTATCTGGTACACTGAACACGAATATGATGTTTATTTCGTGCGGCAGCGCCATCTGGTGGAGTTACGGTAGGATTACAGTAGGGGGTCAAAGTCACGGATTTGCCCGAAACTTGGCCCAGAGGGGTTACTCGGCCTGATGATGCTGAAAATCACATTGGTTTTGTACCGGTCCTTTCTCAAGTTATGGTAGGTATACGGTAAGGGGTCAAAATCTCAAAATCCGCTGTAACTTCGCACGGAGGGGTTATTCGACATGCTGATTAGAAATGTCACACTTTCTCCGCACGAAAACGTCTCTCTGGGTGGGGGAACGAAAGCCGCCAGGTCCAGCCGCCTTTCGCGGCCAGCTGGTCCTTTCGCAGCGTTGTTGCATGTCGTTCCAGGACCAGCAGTCCGCGGAGGCGGCTGGACCTGGCGGCTTTCGTTCCCCCACCCCGTCTCTCTGCATGGTTACGGTAGATTTGTAGGGGTCAAAATCACAAATCGGCAAATGTATCTTTCCCCTGTGCTTTGCTTAGGCAAAAGCCGCAACAGAGAGTGTATCGCGTGGCGGTGGTCGTGTGTGCAAAGCTTCACGATCGTCCGAATCGCCGTACACCCTTTTCAGGCAGAACTATGTTTTGCACTCTTACCGTGCAGCTACCGTAACCCGGGAAAATGACGCTATGGTACAAAACCAATGTGATAATTAGCATCAGCGGGCCGAATAACCCCTCTATATAGAAGTTTCAATTTTCATTTTTTGGTCAACTAGTGTGGAATAGTGCCCAAATTATGCGAAATAATTCGAGTTCCAAGCCTGATGGCGAGGATTAACAGTTGGGTATTCCAATTACAAGGAAGAAGCACATTCACCTAAAACCTACATAAGTGTTTTTGAAACGTATTTCGTGGAATTTGCATCACAGAACAATTGACAAATCGCACATTCAAACCTCATAAACAAACAGATGGTCGCTTGGCAGATCAAAAAAACTTATATTTGAAAACAGCGTTTCAAGGCGAGTCCGATGACATATAGCTCGTTTCGTATGGCTGGGTTAAGCTCCGACCATTTGCTTAGCTTGCAGTATGAAGTACCTGGTGCTGAGGACGACATGTCACCAATAGGCTCCATGTTTCGCTGCTCGCACTGGAACGAGATGCTGCTCATGTGCGGAGAAGCGTGTTTGTCGCTGTTTTCCGCGCGGGACCCCGCTTCCAGGGAAATCTCTGGGTGGGCGGGTACTGGAACGCACGCTCCTTCTGGAACACTTCGGGCAAGTTTTAAGCTTTTAACGCTTATACGCTCCAGACTTCAATGACTGCTTTCAAGGGAATGGTCAGAAGTCGAAGTGACCAATCCACACATGCTGCATACCATTAAATGCAGCATAAAACGCTGATTTCAAATCTGTCTTCCTCATCTGCAGAGCGCTTTTGTGGACGAAATTATAAGCCGCTGAAGGCCATTATTTTGCCAAGAAATTGTGTGTGCAAAGTGCAAACTTGGCCGTACAAAGCCATTCTCGGCTCAGTGTTAGTGTTGGACCAAAAGATGCAACTAGGCCACTTCATGTGACCCATACCTAGAGGTACGCTGGTAGAGCAATAATGTGCTTATTTCGAAATTTTTGTATACGATTTTTCGTAATAAAGCTGCTCATACTTCGGCTACAAAGGCGCTCTGCAGATAAGGAAGACAAATTTGAAATCAGCATTCTATGCTGCATCGAATGGTATGCAGCCTGTATGGATTGGCCACTTCGACTTCTGACCATTCCCTTGTTAGTTTGGAGGCTGTTGCGATTCTAGAAAATCCCAGCAGTTTGTACTTTTGCCAAGACGCTGATTTCAGGGGTCAGCGGAAGCTATCAAGGAAGTTTTTAGCGTTTTGTGTTCATCTTTCTCGAAATCTTGTGCTAATATGTACACCATTTGTACAGTCTGTTTCAACCCGTAACACTCCTTGGAGCAGCGCGTCCCCATCGCTGGGGGCTTTGCGAGTGCACAGCGGTGGCACTGCCAAGCAAAGTCTGAGGAGAGTGAATAGACGCAGACATGGGATCTTGCACGATATGGTATACTGTAACTGTGAAACGGTGCGTTTTAAGTGTAAATGGGGTTATTTTGAAAAAACATTTTCAGATGTAAATTGGGTTGGCGGTTTCGCCACACAACGGTTGGTTGCGTCGCGGACTCCCGCTAACCCAATTCATACCTAAAAATGTGTTTATCAAAATGACAACAACAAGCGCTCTCATTACCCGAGCAAGGGTTAGAGGCACTGCCTACCCAAGTCGAAGGTAATGAGATTTTGATGTCATATAATGGTGGGGCATCTAATTAAACCATCAGCCAAGTCTCGCTACAAAAAATGAATTCCGAAGCGAGAAGACCGCTTCAGATAGAAGCGCCACGTTGGCTCTGCCCATCAATCTGGTTGGCCTGAAGAATAGCCTACCCGGATTTCAAGGTAGACAGAAATGTCGCAAAGTTGGTAATTATTATGAAGGGCGGGTTTATGACAACTCTGTATACATTAGAGCACGACTTTGCTCTCTATCTTCAGACCACCCACGTTGATGGGCGGAGCCAACACGGCGCTTCAATCTTCTGGAGCGGTTTTCTCGCTTTAAAATTCACCTTTTGCAGAGAAATTTGAGCGATGGCTTAGTTAGGTGCCCATTACATGACAACAAGATCTCATTACTCTCATTTTAGGTGAACGGTGCCTCTAACTTGAACAGCAAACGACACTACTTATCACTCCCCAAGCCCTACTTTAGCAGGGAAGCTGGGACAAGTTGCGCAAGCATCAGAAAGGTTTAGCCGGACAGGTCGCTTCGGCGACAGGTGAGTTGAAACTTACAGGGCTTATCAAATGCAGTGTCGGGTGCACCAACGTCTCCTCACCGCGCGGGACTCTGCACCTCTTCCGCAAACATGCTCTCTAATCATATCCAATCGAGAGGCTCCGCCTTTCCCACGCTCGCGGTGATCAGAAAGCATATTCGCAAAGAGGTACAGAGTCCGTCCGGGGGAAGCGGCCGCGCGGGAGCGGAGATGCTCCCGCGCGGCCGCTTCCCCCACTTCTTCCACTGGTGCTTCCGACACTGCAGTTGATAAGCCCTGTATGTAACATAGCATGCTTACTGCACACCATGGCGCCATTAGGAAGCGTGCAAGAAATCTTTACCCATCTCTTTTCACTCGCTTATAAAGAGGCATTGCGGATTGCTGAAGCTTTTCGGCGTTGTATTCGCCACTAAACTTACGTTGGTAGCTCAGTGGTAGCAGCAGTTGGCCGAGCAGACGACAGATTTATCACGACTTCAGCCAAGCAGGTAAGAGCACTTGTGAGGGGAGGGCAAGGGTCTCTGACATGAAAAACGTGCAATCGTCGAATAGTCGCCTTAGATTGACGGTATTGTTAGAAGAGTTTGGTCACGCGGAGCGTGCTCCGTAATCTACGGCCAGTTCTTGGTTCAAGTACTAAATGGCGCTTTGGCATGACAGGAGGAATTCCGTTAAGTGTAACGCCTACGCCTTTATGAAAGTCTCCCCTCCACCTCGATCTACATCCTGCGCTTTGTAGTACTTTGGAAATCAAGCAGATACATGATAGATATCAATTTTTTCGTTCCTTGCAGAACACCCAATATGGATAAAAAAAAACAAAGGATTCGGCGTCTTCAATACTTCCTGCGGATATGCGCCAAACCTACTCTACTTCATAGTCGAAGAGGCTACCGAATGCGCACGAACCTTTATCAGCGAATTGCGGGGACCAGTCGATTACCTAGTCAGTGCTTTATCCTCTCAGATTACTCTGCACCAATTCACCGGCCCCGAAAAGTAAACGGCTGTTGGCCCATGGACGGGATCAGACGTGGATCCGATCTGGTCATAGCAGCGATACCACCACGCCACTCGTTCCAACACTTATTAAGAAGATTTATACATCGTCGTGAGACGGAGCCATAGCAGTTCTCTCTGGAAATTCTTTTGCTCTAAATTATATCTAGTTATGTTGCACATAGCCTATGGGCCATTTTAACATAAACTTTGGAAGCCGGAAGTCTACCAAGATGTATACATCGCAGGAGTGACTTGCACTACGTTTCCATGAGTAATATCAGTGCTAGATCAGACTATATTTCCATGAATTTATCAGTGCTAGATCACAACTCCTTTGATATTATATCATTTGATATATTAACACTCAGAACCACACAGAGTTGCAAATTACCGGATATTTCTGAGATCCTCATGTACAATTCAAATTGCAACGATAAGCTAACCCGCAATGGTTAGAGAGGGTTACCAAATTTCCTAGACTGCACGTCTATAAGCCAAGAAAGCAACTTCGTGTGAGAGAAGCAGTGTTTGCGGCTTACAGTTTATACTTCGTTCATTATGGTTCACAAACATCGCAACAGTTCTTTTTAATAAAAAATCAAATACCCAGCCGTTATGCAAATACTTCTCCGAATCCATGCCTTATAATATATTCTGTTTACAATACACCAACTTTGTTTACATTTATTCACAGCACTTACAGTGAGTTCATAAGAGACCAGTTTCATGCACAAGACTCAAATAACATTAGTGTCAGTGAAAAATTAGTTTCCTCCTCTAAGACGAAGGACTAAGTGGAGGGTCGACTCCTTCTGAATATTGTAATCGGATAGTGTACGACCATCCTCGAGCTGCTTGCCGGCAAAGATCAATCGCTGCTGATCTGGGGGGATTCCCTCCTTGTCTTGGATCTTCGCCTTCACATTTTCAATGGTATCTGAGGCCTCGACTTCCAGAGTTATCGTCTTCCCTGTCAACGTTTTGACGAAGATTTGCATTCCACCGCGAAGTCGGAGCACCAAGTGGAGGGTGGATTCTTTTTGGATGTTGTAGTCAGACAGGGTTCGGCCGTCTTCAAGTTGTTTTCCTAAAGAAAAAGTATTATTCATCTGTCAAAAGAGTTGCGCATATCAGGTCAATGATAAATTTTACTCACCAGCAAAAATCAGTCGCTGTTGGTCTGGAGGAATTCCTTCTTTATCCTGGATCTTAGCTTTCACATTCTCAATTGTATCCGATGCTTCAACTTCTAGGGTGATGGTTTTCCCAGTCAAAGTCTTTACGAAAATCTGCATTCCTCCTCGAAGTCGCAGGACCAAATGAAGTGTGGACTCCTTCTGGATGTTGTAGTCAGAGAGGGTACGACCATCCTCGAGTTGTTTTCCTAAAAAACCACTTATAAATGCACTCAAAATATCCGGTTCACAGGGTGGACATGATGATAGCTCACCAGCAAAGATCAATCGCTGCTGATCTGGAGGGATTCCTTCCTTATCCTGGATCTTGGCTTTCACATTTTCAATCGTATCGGATGCTTCGACTTCCAATGTGATAGTCTTTCCCGTAAGTGTCTTCACGAAGATCTGCATACCACCACGAAGTCGCAAGACCAAGTGGAGGGTAGACTCTTTTTGGATGTTGTAATCAGAAAGTGTGCGACCATCCTCAAGCTGCTTTCCTGCAAGAATACTTTTCTTATTTCGGTACTTAACCATAAAAAAATTGTGATGACTTACCAGCAAAGATCAATCGCTGCTGATCTGGAGGGATTCCTTCCTTATCCTGGATCTTGGCTTTCACATTTTCAATCGTATCGGATGCTTCGACTTCCAATGTGATAGTCTTTCCCGTAAGTGTCTTCACGAAGATCTGCATACCACCACGAAGTCGCAAGACCAAGTGGAGGGTAGACTCTTTTTGGATGTTGTAATCAGAAAGTGTGCGACCATCCTCAAGCTGCTTTCCTGCAAGAATACTTTTCTTATTTCGGTACTTAACCATAAAAAAATTGTGATGACTTACCAGCAAAGATCAATCGCTGCTGATCTGGAGGAATTCCCTCCTTGTCCTGAATCTTGGCTTTGACGTTCTCGATGGTGTCCGAAGCTTCGACTTCAAGGGTGATGGTCTTTCCAGTAAGGGTCTTGACGAAGATTTGCATGCCACCACGAAGTCGGAGTACAAGATGGAGAGTGGATTCCTTCTGGATATTGTAGTCTGATAGTGTGCGGCCGTCTTCGAGTTGTTTTCCTGCAAAAAAGAGAATATTTTTTTGCCAGCAAATTTGACCGCAAGTATTAGTCAGCTTTCATGAGGACGCAAGACCTACCAGCAAAGATCAATCGCTGCTGATCTGGAGGAATTCCTTCCTTGTCTTGGATCTTGGCCTTCACATTCTCGATGGTGTCCGAAGCTTCGACTTCAAGGGTGATGGTCTTCCCGGTAAGGGTCTTGACAAAGATTTGCATGCCACCACGAAGTCGGAGTACAAGATGGAGTGTGGACTCTTTCTGGATATTGTAGTCTGATAGTGTGCGGCCGTCTTCGAGTTGTTTTCCTAAAGTCATATCATCAGCTTCAACCTATTCTGCAACGGAGTCCCTCTTCTAAGTTAAGCTGAATTACAATATTTACTTACCAGCAAAGATCAATCGCTGCTGATCTGGAGGAATTCCTTCCTTATCCTGAATCTTAGCCTTGACATTTTCGATTGTGTCAGAAGCTTCGACTTCAAGCGTGATAGTTTTGCCAGTGAGAGTTTTTACAAAAATCTGCATTCCACCACGGAGTCGAAGGACCAAATGAAGCGTGGATTCTTTCTGGATATTGTAGTCGGATAATGTGCGTCCGTCTTCGAGCTGCTTTCCTATAAGAAAAAGAGCAATCAAATTTTTGGACCCTGGAGCAACATGTGTGCGTTGAAGCAAAATGTGCTCAATGCACGTCAAAAGAAAAAACCACTACAAACCTGCAAAAATGAGTCGCTGCTGATCTGGAGGAATTCCTTCCTTGTCTTGGATCTTAGCCTTGACATTTTCGATTGTGTCAGAGGCTTCGACTTCGAGTGTGATAGTCTTGCCGGTAAGCGTCTTGACGAAAATTTGCATTCCACCGCGAAGTCTTAGCACAAGATGAAGAGTCGACTCCTTTTGGATGTTATAATCTGACAGAGTGCGACCGTCCTCAAGCTGCTTTCCTGAATAGGGAAATGATAAGCGACTTTGATATGACAGTAATGGAAGAAAAAGTGCAGATTATCATCAGACATACCTGCAAAGATCAGACGTTGCTGATCGGGAGGAATGCCCTCCTTGTCTTGAATCTTGGCCTTGACATTCTCAATAGTGTCGGAAGCCTCAACCTCGAGGGTAATCGTCTTTCCAGTAAGCGTTTTTACGAAGATTTGCATTTTCTGGAACAGTTGATTTGCACAAATGTTTCTTGTTTGAAAGGAAAACACACGGAAATAGAGAAATGCGAGTCCACACGAACGTAAAACGAATTAGTTGAGAGCGAAGTGAAACACGTCTGCCGCTACAGCTCAACCGAACAACGGAAATGACCAGATGCGAATAGGAGGAGTTTGCTAGGTGCTGATCGATAAGCCACGCCTACAGGATCGATAAGCGCGTGAGGACCTGCCGGATAGCGAAGCGCGCTCCACTGCCTGGCACCTGCTCGTTTTTGTCACTGTCACTTATTCCGAAGCGAAAACAAAAGTGTTTTTGAGTGTTTGGGCTGTCGCAGCGTCTATTAGAAGAGCAAGTGATATTTTTGCAATTCTCAATCTTCAAAATCACCCACAGGCCCAAAAAATGAGTGGCCATCTGAACTAAGTAGTAATTCTAAATCATCTAATTTTAGGCTAGGAGACTTCAAAAATCCCGCAGATAGTGCTCTACAGGCTTAATTGTAAGCGCCGTTGTTAAGGTGCTGTCAAACTTGTTGAAGTGAAAATATTCCGTGTTGGGTGGTTCTCACAAGTTTGAACTTGTCAAGTGCAGCAGCTTTCTCGAATATTCTAGTCCGGAAATAGATTAGTAATTGCAAAAGTATAATTCGGAAGAGACGACGAAACATTTGAGCCATCAAATTTTCGAAAAAAAAATCAATTTCAAAGTGGATAGAAATCATCGCTTGGAAGCTTTGAATTCGAGGCAACATCTTGGAAAACTTTGAGATAAATATAAACAAAATATGAAAGGATGCATTTGAGATTTTGTGAGAGACTATCTGGTTACTTCAGTTTCAATATGCATCGAACATTCTCTTCACCAAACAAGTGCCCCCCGTAATGACAAGACCCGAAATGTGAAAGCACGAACAAGTGCCGCGATAGCTCCGAGCGCCCTCTTTATAGTCCGCATGTATCGACTGGAATGTTCTGCATGCTGAGTCATCCGACTGTGGGATAAACTTATGCAATACCGGCGCCGCACACATGACGTATGGTCAATCGATTTTTTTCTTCTCTTGAGTACGCAAACACAGATGAGACAAGTAGTTCTTGAGGACAAGTCTATCCGTAATCATCGGTTGGATCTTTGGACCTTCATCATTTAGTTCAAGTGTATTGTCTATTTTTGTCATTTAATTTTGAAAGATTGTTTCTCAGTGAACTGGAATAAACCTGTCCTTTTCTGCCGCTGAATTAAATCAATTGTGTTCATTGCCATTTTTTCCAGTTTCATTTCCTCACTATATAGAAAACTTCTTCTCAAAACCTCACTCACTTATTTTCAAGCAGGTAGTCTTGTGTCTTTTGTATAAATTTGAGGATTATGAAAATCAAAAGAAAATCGAAAAGTTTTTTTTCAGAGAAAACAGGTTCGAATTCCTTGTTGTTTTAGACAAGCTGAAAGAGAATCCCAATTTGAGACGGGGTTGTTCTATTACACACTATGAAACGGAAATTCTTTTCTCAAAAAAAAAGAAAAGAAAATATCGTTTAAACATCCTGAAATTGAGATTCAAATGAGTTAAATATCGACTGGACCTCTTGTTATGTTGTTTTTTTTTCTGGCATTCGACGACATTCGGCAGCTCTAAAAACTGGTTATTGTCATTGAATCCCCGTAAACTAGACTTCGTCCCATTTTTACTGATTTTTTTTCTGCGAAAGCGCATTAGTTACAGACGTTCGATAATGAATTTTACTTGGTCAAAAACCGCAGACACTCCGATTTCAAAACACACTGAACTGTCTCGAAGGGAGAATGTGTCGGGAAGTGATAAGAAATCAGCACGAGACGTTTGAACAGAACTGGTTTTACATGGAAATCGACATGGTCATAGGACTTCATGTACACCTGCAAAAAATAAAATTATAAAGTCATAGAGTTCGCTTTGATTGAACCTAATTTGCAGTTGGAGAAACTTATTTTTTCCCAAGGTCATTTCTGTAGTACTATACCAAACACAAATAGTTTAAAGATCGTAATGTAGTATGTAAAACTGGTTCAAAGTGTCGACAATGGTAAAACATCGAACGAGGAAATTGTTGTCCTATTTACCGTCAACACAATAGCCCCAACAAACCATAAAATGTATTTGTTTGCAGAAAATCTCTCTCATTGATGCATATTGTGTGTAGAACCGGTTACTTGCAAGAGCTGCAAAAGTCAATTCTATGGTTTCATAACTGGGCTAAAAATCTCAAGTACCTGGCAGCTGCTGTCTGCGACGAAATGTTTTTCGCCTCAAAGAAATAATGGTTGTTTACGTGGTGTGCAGCTGTTTTTCAGGAACAAAAATTTGCAAAACGATCACTTTTGAAAGTCAGATTTCATCAGAATAACAGGTAAAAAGCAGGTTATCATACAGGAGAGCAAGTTCAAGAAAACCATACTTACTGGTAGGAAACACATAGGGCATCCAAAATTTGACAATTCTTCATAAACAAAATAATTCTTCATAGTTAAAATAATTGTTAAAGTTTTAACCAAACTCGGATGTGAAATACTAATCTTGAATTATTGTGAATGAGTTTGGATTTTTTGGCATATCTTACTGCTACTGCAATACTATTTGCTCAACAAATTACTTCGTCTTGAGACGAACACTTTATTATGAATTTTCAATTAATGTAAAAAAAACACATGAAATGAGTTAACAAAATTTTTCTGACAGCGTCTATCATATTTTGGCAACAACGCATTTACCAAAGTTTTGCTATCATCAAAGTGAACCGAAATGATTTTGACTGTTTTTTTAATGCAAGTTATTTTGTGCTTCTATGTGACCAAATATTCCCGGACACCCGGACAATGCTATTTATTTTGTAGCTGTAACGAAAAATTTAAAGCACATAGAATAACCGAAATAATGAGCAAATTATAACAATTAATGAGAATAGTGATTGATCAAAAACAATCTTGCGATAATCAATAAGTTTAACCTTGTGCTATGGCATTTTTTTCGAAAGCTGCAAACCTGTTTCTCCTCTTCAAGCTGGCTAGTCTTTGCGAAAAATTGTTTTCTAGTAGTTTCTAATAGTGCCTTATGATCTTCCGCGAAATTTGTCTTTTGCGAAAGGGCTCCTGGCAATCATGAGAATTTCCACCCAAAAATCGAAAATTTCTCATTTGTCTCTGTCATTTTCTCAAAACATGTAACGTGATCTTCATCTGGACTGTACGGCCGAGAAGAACAGGTTTCTGGTGCCCCTTGTAAAAGTGACATCGTCGATCAAGCAACCATCGACATTAAGCGTGACGAAAACACTAGCTTAGAGTTGGGGATTAGCTCTCTTGCCAAAGCTGAAATAAAGCTTATTACCCTTTCTTTACACAAGGTTGCCCTTGTCGTCAAGTCGTAGCACTATCCAAAAATAGCGATCACGAGCGAGATAATTCGATGCCGAGCTGGAACTTTCTAGACACAACAAGCAGGGGAAATAGATGGCTGATCATTGGTTAGTGGGCAAGTGCTGACATCATGAATTACTGCAAAAATATTTCATACAATGATTTGTTGAAGTTGAGGGACAAAATGTGATCATTGGTATATGACAAAAATGATATTTTATGCGTCATACATAGTAAATTCTGGCATTGTCCTGATTCATCCAAATTTCGTAATTTTGCTGGCCCATTCGCTTATTCTGGGTAACAACTGCCCCTCTCATCAATGTGCAAATTGAAAAAAAAGAACTAATCTATTCCGAGTGAATTTTCAATTCTTAGAGTCTCCCAGTTGGAACCAAATACACCTGGCTGGTGGCCAAGTGCTTTCTGAAAATGGGTCACAAAATTTTTTTGCGAGTGTTGATAGTGACTTGTAATATTGTGCAATTAAGGTTAATTTTGCGTACGGATTACTAAGATATGTTGCAAAATCAAAAAAAAATGTTAGTTTTCATCCTTCAATTTTGCTTGTCCCAAACAGCTTTGTTATGGGAATCTTTATTCGAATGGTCTAAAGTTTCGGCGCGTTCGCCGTCCTCACAGGCCTAAAATGACACAAAGCATAATCCGCGACACCAAACTACCAAATGTTCCTCCAGGCTTAGCTAGTTTCGACTTTTTTCTAGTTCAATCCGTAAAAATTCTCAAAACCGAGATGAACCCACCGTCTACATACAACCGCTATATAAAGTGTCCGCACCGGAAGGAAGTGACAGTACGACCGGAAATATGTGACGGAAGCGGACAATTGGGCTATACTCTGGAAGGCAGATAGAGGGTTTATCTACGAAAGGCAGATAAAGTCTATCTGCTATCTATAGCTCACATAGTGCTACGAACGGCAGGAAATCACGGCAGTGATAAACAAGAACTCATTCTTGTTATTCATTTCTGGACTTTTCGGAGATCCAGAAAGCGTCTAACGCCTTTCTAGCCGAGATCTCGTCCTCGTGCGTCAAAATCGTGCATTTTTTTGAGATATTTTTGTTTCCCAAAGTTTCAGGTTATAAGCGCGAAACGTATGGAAATCTTTTTGAGTGCAAAATTTCTTTCCCCTCCCCCCTCTTCCGCCCTGTTCCCTTCCGAAAATCTCGGGGCCTATTGCCGGAATATCTTCACGAAAAATTTAGTACTGTTAACGAGTGAAATAAGATTTAGTAATTGAAGATGTTTAGCACCCATTTGATCTTTGAGGTTCATAACAGCAGCACAATAATATCTATCTATAAAGATTCAAGATATATATTACTCCTCCTTCTCCGCTAAAAAAAATTAATTCTTTGTCATAGAGCTTTGTCCACTGCAAAGTTTCCTCTTATCTCTCTCTTTCAGAAATCAATTGCACCGAAAAGTGCAAACATTAGTGCAGCAAACGTGAATGCATGTAATATTTTCAATAGCTTTTGTGCATTGCACTTCCCTAACAATTTACACAGCGTTCCATTTCGAAAGATCACACTCAGGATTTTCCCTTTCATTACCGGATCATTGGTACATGAGAATTATCCACGTTTGTATACTAGTGTCGAAAGTATTGAGACCATCAGCTGATACGACCTTCGTAGCGGTCATAGAGCAGCTGCTATCGGCACAGACAAAACACTCGAGATCTTCGTTCATTTTATAGTTGATGT